ACCAAACAGAAAAGCACCTAATCCGGTTTGTGTAACAAAATGTGATTTATGATGTGACATTAGAAAAAATCCTGTTTGCTTGGGAACGAACACCAGAATCTGCCGTGGGCTGGTGAAAGTGATTAAGGAAGACTCGTTAAGGACACTCCCTTGGCGGAATATCCGTTACTGATCTGGAAAAAGAAATCATTGTTTTTGTCTGAGAAATGCCAAAGCTGTAGTCTTTCCCCTTCTGTAATAATGCTGTTATGTTACATTTTAATTAACCAAGAAAGCCTACGCTAAGTTTTTGAATAAATCTAAAAAAAGACAACGATCTTAGTTTTTCCGTTCCGGAAACACGGTGACGTTACGACGGGATCGACAACCAGTTCATCTAAATCCTGCACAAGAACATTCCCAGCTACTCCCCAACCTAATGAATTTATTCAACCTAATGAACAAGCCTCTTCCCAACAAGTTTTAAAGTATGCCAGATAATCCTTTTTAATAAAAAAGGCCAGAATGCATCTAACCCAGGTTCTTATCACTCAATAAATCTTCCTGCAGTAGAAAATCGACTGGAGAGAGCTCTAGCAAATCGCCTCAGGCATCATATAAACAAGTTCAACATGGCAAGCGCATACCGATTCAGGTTCTTTTCAAATAAGAGCCCTTTATGTGAAATCAATGAAGTTCTAAAGCAGATAAAAAGAAATAAAGTACAGAATTAGCATTTAGCTCTGTTGTGCCTATATTTCCAAAAAGTCTTCGATTCCCTCTGGTGGCCACTGGTCTAGGCACACTGAAAGACAAACTTTCCAAAAAACATCTAAGAAATATTTCAAGATTTTTTTCACCAACAGACGTAGCGCAATTACATCTAACAAACGTATACTTGAAAAAGTATAAGTCGGAGGCTGTTCGTATGCTCAAGTTCAGATTTTTGAAACATTTCTCATTTTAAATGTCAGGCTTCCCTAACCACTATATATAATATCTTCATATTCTTTAAATCAAATAATAAAACTGAATCATGTTTATATTAAAGGAGAAGAAAAGCAAGAATGTGTTTATCTCGTGTTACCTCATCTTTACATCTAAACACATTTTCCGAATCCTCATCTTTGCTCTGTAAAATCTTATTAAAATAATTCCAAATGCCAAATTAAAACATGGTTCTGATTTCATTCCATGCTTGCAGAAATTTGCGAATAGCAAAGAATTTTCATTGGTGTTTCTCTTGCTTCATGCATCTCTGGTATTTTTCTCAACAATAATCGTTTCATTCTTAATAAAAAATTTTAAATTTCGCTTCAATTATTATATATTATTTATTACTGCTATCATTCAAGTCAGTATACGATAAGAGTTTACTCCTCATATGTGTTGATTCAATAAAGGAACTTGTGAACTTGAACACATAAACAGTTGAGTTTCATTCAGTTTAGATAGATATGAGATACTAACAATGTTTAATCATTGCTATGAAGGTTAGCACAGTGTATATACTCAGAAGTGAGTAATACAGATTTTCTGCAATTCAGCTTTGGTAACAATAATTGTTTTATGAGCTAGAATTATTAATTCATGCACATTTGTTATGTTTTTCATAATAAACTGTATTAAATTTAATATCTAATTGTTAAGAGAACAGAAAAATGCATTTATGAAATGCAGAAATACTTAAAACAAGTGATTCACAAAAAACAACTTATAGGATATTTTTAACGTAATACAATTATTTAAATATATTAAAGCTGTGCAGTGTAAGAAAGTTATTTTAAATTTATAGCTTAGAAATCTTATAAAATTGTAATTTGTCAATGGAGAAATAATGGTAAAAGAGAATGCCTCTTTATTTTCTGTAATTCAGTTTCCATAACCACGTTTTCCAGCTACCAATTTTTGTACCCATAACTATTTGCTCAGTATCACAGATAACATAAAGCAACAAATCGCTACTTTGGAAACTACGATTGTGTTGATTTACAAAAGCTTCAAAACGAAACATTTTGTTATATAACAAAATATTCAAATAAGTAAATGTCCTATAAATATAGTACTAAAATGGTTGTTCTTTCATCTAATTATCAAAATAATTTAGCTCTTTTTCTGGAAGAAAAGCAATTAACAAAAAAAGAAATGGAGAACAGAAAACAGTATTAAAAGCTAAACAATTTTAAAAATATTCCAAGCCTAATAAAAAATTTTTGAAGTATTTCTGTTTAGAATAGGGGAGGGATATTAATTTAAGAAATACAGTTATTATTAGGAGAAATATAATTATTATAAATATTGCAACCCAAAGAGTTTTTTTGTTTTGTTTTGTTTTTGTTGTTGTTTTCTGAAATATTTCTATTTTGAAAATGGAAGGTGTTAAAATAAGAAATATAGTTAAATTTTTAATAAGCTTACAATAAGAACTCTGATTTTTATTACAATTTAGAAATTGTGGAAAACTATGAAGTGCCTTTAAATATTAAATTCTAAAGAATGAAAGCAAAATTATGTAGCTTCTGGACAGGTAGTATTCAAAAGTATTTTCAATATAATAAGCTCAGAAAATATCCATATAACTTTTACATCATACATACTACGTCCTGCATTTTCTATACACTAAAGTTCATACATATATGTAATAAAGATAAATGGATTACAGTTATATAAGCTTAATATGGTCAGATACAGCCTTAGTATAATGAGAAAATTTCAAATGATTATACTGAATATTTCAATATTTTAAAAATTTCGAATATTATGAATGAAGTATAATATTATATATATACTTGAAGAGTATAATTCCTTACTGGATCACTAAAACATTGTTGTAGTTATCTGTTCACTAAAATAGGAGTACATTTAGAAAGTAATCTTGTACTGGATGACATGCTTTTGCATCTTTAGTTACATTACATTCATGTCACCCTATGGACATTATATTAAAGCTGAAGTGTGTTGTAACATGAATGTCACAGAGTGACTTCACAACACTATCATAATGTAACTTCACAACAACGCTGCAGCATGACTACACACCAAAGTCATAGTGTGACTTCACATCAACGTTGCAATGTGGCATCATAAAAGCAGACATTAAGCCCTATTTACAATGTTACTGCGGCATCGAAATTGTCACAGTGCGACACATTTGCAATGTCATAGTGACGTCGCCGTGCTGTTGGGCTACTAAAAGCTAACAAGTAGTATAAAAGCTAAGTCAGCTCAAAAATTAATTCCAAATGTATACTTCATGTAATAGTACATACAAAGAAAGCAATATAAGCTTTGCCATTATTCATGCATCACATAATATCTGGCAAAATCTATTTCTGTAACCTCAAACAGGAATGTTCTCTTCATTATAGTGGCAAAGGTGCAAGATCTTGATTTAAATCTTTCAAAAATTACACATTTTAACATGCATATTCTTTGTCTTTTGCTTTCTTTTCTTGACATCATTACTGGCAATATGTCGTATATACATGTGGCATTGAATTCGGCTAATTACTTGATTATGCAATTTGTTTCAATACAATTAAAAATACATATAAAATTAATTAAAAATAAAAGAATACTGATTTAAAATAAAATTATGCAAACAGCATTTGACTAAATATCTTTATAAAGGTGAAAGTTAAAAATATGTGTAAAGAGCTTTCGTGTAATTTCTGTTACAAATTCATTTAAACACCACTCTGAAGATGTACAGAAATCTATCAATTTAAAGATGTCTTAATCATTCTCTGAAGCATCAGAAATAAGTTTCTTAGAAATTAATTTAATATGTTGTGTAGTTTATTGATGAACCGTACAGCTTTGTTCCAAATGTAGCCAAAAACATCTTTTTCATAACATGACATTGAAAACACAAAAGAATTTTGTTTTGCCAGAGGCCCGACATTTATATTAGTTTTATATATTGGTCAAGAATGACCAAACACACCAGTCATTTCTGAAGCATTCACACTTGTTACAAATGATGTAAGCCACAGGCAATCGGGAAAGATTAATTTGTATATGCATAACTATACTTACAGGTCTTCAGCTTACTTGCTTCGCTACTACGCTTATGTTTGGTTGGTTGGTGTAAAGTTGAAAACATTTAGGCAAAATCCTTGACTGTCTAATTGACAAAATCTATGACGTCTAATTGACTAGCAACAAAGATTTGCTTAGGCCAGTTCTGACCACTAAACCATCATGCGAATTGTCCACAGTTCACCACAGGAGGCAACCAATATTACAGCCGAAGAAGGGTACAGATAATTGCAAATATCCATGAATCTCCTTTCATTCAAACCAAATGATTAGGTAGCTGGTACTGCTAACTCATATACTGAAACAGGATATTAGGGAGGAAAAAAAAATGTTTAGACTCCCAGAACTCTAAAATTATGGAGAAATTTGTTGAGGAAGTAAAGTAAAATATGAAAAACTTAAACATTGGCTAATTTACAATATCTTACATTTCCAAGTTCTGAAAAAATTTTAATTTTTTAATAATTCATTTAATCAAAAGATTCATGTATAGCACAATGAAACAAATTGATTACTTTGCATAAGATTTACCAGTAAAAATACTTAATTCTTGATTTCAAAAAATTCTAAAAACAAAATATAGATACATAACTGAAACCAAATCTATTTATTTCAGTTATGAGGTTCATCAGTGGCAGAGCAGAATAAGAATGTTGAATACTGATAGTTCTACATCATTTCAAATCCTGGCCCAAATGGTCCATTTGCATGGATCTTTCCTCAATTTTACCCACATTAAAGTAAATATAAGCTAGTTTGCCACAGAATATCTTCCATAAATGCATCTCTTTCTTTAGGCAGACAGCATAGAGTAATTTGTCATTATCTAATAAATCCAAATCTATTTCTGTACATCATAAGCTAAGAATCTTAATTTATAAATTCTCAAAATATCCTAAACAAACTTATGTAAATCTTTTTCATGTAATCAGGCATTTTTTATTTTGTAGTAACATCCAGCCAATCAAATTAAAAAGAAATTGTAAGGCTATATACCTTTATTGCTTTTAAACATATTGCGCATATATATATAATTGTAGATACAAACATATCAAGAACAGTGTGAGATTTTTTACAAAGCAGAAATCAATATTTATACAAAATATAAGTTTCATCATTGATGAATAGAAAGTAGAAAAGTGCATAGAAATGCATAGCTGGTATTATAGAAGTGATGAAATGATTGTTAACATTGTATTCTTGATTTGAAATGCTAAGATACTGAGCAACTCCTGTTTCTTGATTCTTGACCCTGAAAACAAGGAAAGCAGAATGAGACTAAACACTACAATATATTCAATTAGCGACAAATAAATTGTGATGTCGGTAAGTTATTATCATAAATATCACGTAAATCTCAGTATATAAAATACAGTAAAATTTTTATCATTTGCAAGTATTTAATCTGTGAATGCTTACAATTTACACACACTTTTTGGTGTTCAATAATGTGTTTTGACTGAAGAAGTAAATTTATTTCATTACTGAAATTATAATTTAGCATATTCTGCATGTAGATCAGAATTCATTTCAGACAAATTCAGTACTTTTGGGTACATATTCCAGGGTAATTTAAATATTAATTTTGATCTTATACCTTAAACATGCAAAAAGAATTTACTTGTCAACAACTTTTCAAGACGCAAGTGCCAACTTAAATGAATGTTATAGCTGATATGCTTAAGTTCCATGCAGAGAGATTGTCTATATTGATTTCAAATATGGGATTTGTAAAAATAGCACTAATAGTTTTCCTGTCATCAAAACTAGAAATTATGATAGAGGAAATTAGGCAAACATACTAAATGCAGAATTTCAATTCTATCTTTTTTTATTAATTACAAGTTATGTTAAGAATTCAGTTGCACTCATGTTGAGCATAACGGTGGAGTTAAGTGAAGGGATTACGGGGTATCAGAAACCCCTGTACTGACAATGTTAAATTGGCCATTTTCGATGTACCTTTTCTCAAAATCTGCTATAGATACAAGCTTGAAATTTTTTCTGTAATTAAAGTATACCTATCTGATTATACTGAAATGAGCTTTTGAAACATTTTGAATTTTACGGTAAATTACAGGATATTTTGTTAGGCATAGTAAAATTTAGCACTTTTCTCACACAAAAAAAATTAAAATTTTTTTTTTTCTAAGTTTATTACAAAATGCTCATTTCAGTAAATATTAGGAAACCTAATAAATAAGCCATAAAAAGTTTAGATACCTGTGAGCAGTAGTTCCTGAGAAAAGGTACATCGAGTATAAAAAAATCACATTTGGAGAAAAACGCATTTTTATGTAAAATTCCTCATTGATTAAAGCAATAGATGACAAATTAAAACTAGATTTTTTTACAGTTCTAATTTTCATAGAGATTAAACAATGGTATTTTTAGAAAGATAAAAGTGTAGAGAATTTGAAAATGCACAAATCCCAAATCAGAATTTTTTGAAGATTTTGGGGTTCCAACTCCCCTTAAATTTATAAAAAGCCTTACAAAAGGGATTTCAGTAATACTGTATTTATTTATGCATTTTTTTTTTCTTTAAAAGTTACTTTGAAAGAAATTTCACTGAAAAAACATACCCTTTAAAAAATATAAAATATTTTGATGTGTTTTTACAAAAATATCCTTTATCTTCATGCATTTTAACCTTTTAACTTTTCACAATGTTTTCTTACTGTAATGAACAATATTTTTTTTGTATATACAGTCAAAAGTCGTTAATTCGGACAGCCATAATCCGGAATGATCTATAATCTGGACCTCAAAGCTTCAAACTTTCTGCACATGCATCTCGTTGACGCATGCGCGTAAGGCCTTTACGGCTGAGAATATGCTTGTGCGCGTGCACAAAATACGTTTACCAGTGCGCATTTAATGTATAACGGACGGTATAAGCTAAGCAAAAATTATTTAATTATCTATTTCTGTTATGGTTACAGATTGCGTTGTTTCTTAATCTTCGAATTGGATCCGGCTTATTATTTTTTGCAGATTGTTAGAGCAATTTTATAAAAGTAAGCTTGAACTTTCGATTATTTCAAATAGAATTTCTGATATATATTTATTAATATGTAAATGATCTACAAAGCGAAAGTATGTTTCGAAGTTCATTAAACAAAAAGTGGAATTGCTACAAAAAATGGATAAAGGCATATCCTTTGTTTATCTAAACTTTAATGTTTGTTTATCAAAACATTGTTTATCTTTAACGCCGCAGTGGCGCAATGAATTGGAAGTTGATCTGTCAGCACTATCCTTATCTTCAGGGCAGATGTTTTTATTTTATTTGGCTTATAATTCCTTATTAAATGTAGTATTTCATCTCGATGTACTCCATCTTTGATATGATTTAAATCAAATTCCTCGTCATTATAATTTGCTTCCGATAGCGAAGAAAGTGACAGAGGTTATTGAAAACGAAAAAATTTCGATTGACAAATTAGTCGGTATTCTCGACACAGCAATTATAGGACTTGAACAGCGGAACTTTGTAACTGAACAAGAAATTATGTGTCTGTTTAATAGAATTAAAGAGAATGTATTATCACATAAAAAACGAAGCAACTTAAACAACTTACATTGAAAGAAATGTTTAATAAAGTAAACAAATAAATATTAAGCTTTTTTTTTTGTAAATTTTGATACCCTTTAGATCATAATTGTTCTTTATTTCATAAATTACGGTTTCATATTTTTAATTTTATAATTTCTGCATGCCATCTTACCAGATTTAAACTGATGATCTATAATCCGGAAAAATCGATAATCCGGAATCGCCGAAGTCCCGACGAGTCCGGATTAACGACTTTTGACTGTATTGGTATTTAAAAGACATAATAGTCTTGTATTTGGTTAATTAAGTAATAATTTAAAATATGGGTATGTTTTGATAGTTACTTAAATGCAAACAATCTATTAAATATAATGTAAAAATTAGAATGGGAGAAATATAAAACGGAACTCAAGATGAGATATAATCTGCATGTTATTGGAATTCAACAGTATCACTGAATTCCCCCTTAAATATAATAGGGACTGAGAAGTAATGTTGTTTCTGCCCATGTCAGTATTTGTTTACCATTTATCTGCTTAATGCATACTTCAAAGCCATGGAAGAGGCAGTGGCTTTTTCCGAATGAATCACCACAAAGTACTGCTAAGCAATGTTTACACCCCATAAAGACGCTTTTGTGTGTTTGGTGGAATGTTCATGGAATATTTCATTTCGAAACGCTGAAACCATGACAAACTGTGAATGCTGACCTTCACTGCGAACAAATGGATCAAACAAATCAGTTTTTAATTGAAAAGTGTCCAGCAAATGCCAACAGAAAAGGTGTTATTCTGCAACACAATAATGTAAGAGAGCACAAGAAGAACCCTGGAAAAAATTAATAAATTGGAGTGGAAGATTTCTCGCCTAATACTACATCATTGGACTGCCATTTATTCCAACCATTACAACACTTCCTATGTGACAGAAAAATTTTAAAACCTAGTAGATATCTAAAATGCCATCTCTCTAAAGATTTTGCTCAAAAAGCAATTGATTTTTATCGATCTGACACTGAAAATTTGCACACTAGATGGTAAAAGGTTGTTAATAATGATGATTATTATACACTTTGATTAAAAATAAAAACTAGTTTATAATATATTTCTTTGAATTTCATGGGGGGGGAATATTTTCAGGTCCATCATATCCTTATGTCCTTTTTTTTTTTTTTTTAAAGAATGATATCTTTGTGCCATTTTAATCCAAAATACCAATACTATTTAATATCCATAAAACTAAGCAGAAAAGAAAAATAGTACTGTTTTTTATTCTGAAAATATACTACTCCCCCCAAGGAAACTTTCACCACTTTTAATTTCATATTTTAATACATTTGATAAGCATTAAATTTCTAAATATATGTAACCAAGTTTTTACTGCCACGAAAAAACATACAAGATTCATTTCCCAGTGCCACGGTTTTCACACAGGCGCACGTAGTTATGTGATGTATTAGTGGGAAAATAAGTGCAAGTTTTACTTTCTAAAAACTGTTTACTTTCCATTCCGATCAATTCATTTTTAGAACAGTAAAGGGTAATATAAGGTTTCAGTGGTATACCTTGTGAAGTCAGTATGCTTAAAAAACATATATTCTTCTGAACTGGTTGAATGCCATGATTTTGTTCTTGATTTTTCGTTTGCAAGGTGTTAGTTCATATACTCGTCTACAAAACAGTTTCAGTAACAATATGAAGCACGAGCAGAGCATCAGAAAATAATTCAAAAAAGATCAATGGGTTTGAAACATCCATTATATCTTTCTAAAGTAAATGAAAACAGAGGACACAGAATAATAATAATAATAATAATAATAATAATAATAATAATAATAAAAAACATTTTACTCAAACAACACCAGCCAATTCCGTGCAATCATTACTTTCACCGCTGTAGACACACCCCTCTCTCCAATTTCTCCCCACACTTGTCTGGAATAGTATCCTCCTTCGCATACTTTGTCAAGGTCTTTGTGGTGTTGTATTCCAAAGCTTTGGGAATAATTTTATGGGTAGCAGTGCATAGCAAATGATAGTAGTTTGAAAGGGCGTATATACCATATGCCCGGGGCAGTTAACGCATCGGCTCAGCAAGGCGTATATATACGCATGTGGCAGTTAAGGAATTACTATAAGTTCTAAAAAATAAAATAACATAATGAAGTTCTTATTCTCACCTAATTTTTCTCCTTTGAGCACAATAAGACCATGACTTTTCTAAAACTACCAATGAATGATAGCTATATTACAAGAAAATTTTATAGGAATTATCTAATACAAGCAAGTAGGTGCATAATGTATGGGTTAAAGATTAAATAATATATGTGTATTATTTAACATGCTTTCTCCTCCTAAAAAAAACTGCTCAAGATTTGCAGCTTTTTTTTTTTTTTTTTCTGGTACTATTATAATCTCTAGCTTTTATTTACAGGAGTGTTAAAGTAATTGAAAATTTAATTGATGTTAATTACAGAATGAAATATGAAACAAAATGAAAATTTATCACACTCCCTTTTTAATGTTACCACTTTATTTTAAACTTAAAACTCTTTTTCTAAAGGTTTAAAAATTCACAGAAACAAATGTGGCAAATAAAATTAATAAATGACAAATATTTGCAAATTTCTACAAAGGGTTCAGCAGAAGGGGAAAAGCGATAGCAAATAGATATATATATTCTAAAGTTAATAATTATTTAACTGTTAATAATCAGAATTTCTTAATACATTTCTTAATACAACAGAAAATGGGAAATCCATGGACTGAAAATGCATACTGCTTCTCAAATGTCCATAGCGAAGCAGACATTGGTGATATTTCCTCATTCGGTAATAAACCAAGCTATCATATTCTATTGATGATCACTTTTATAACTGTTGCTAAATCCATATTTTACTCAAAATTAGGAATGTTGTGCTTATAACTGAAGATTAACCCTGTTCAGTTTTAATCGAGCAAGACTGAAATAACTGGAATTTTTATATCATCTGTTCACATGACAGCAGCAAAAGGTATGCCAAAGATCATCTTGCACTGCTAAGCTGTGCTACTACCAGGTGTGTAAATATGAAACCAGAATTTTTGTATAGAAAATACAAACTTATTGTACACACACACACACACACACACACAAAAAAAAAAAAAAAAAAAAAAAAAAAAAAAAAAAAACTTTATTTGAAATACTGTCCATTGCCAGCTATGTATTTTCCCCCATCTCTATGGCAATTTATGCTGTTTTTATTATAAACTGTTGCTCTTTTGAGGCAAAGTCATTCAGCCATTTTCATAAGAAATGAAGTGCTGCTGTGCAAGTGCATGCAAATAAACATTAGTTACAGAGAACCAAGTCTGGTGAGTAAGCCGCATGATTCAGGTTATTTTCCAACTGAAGACCTGAATTGATTTTTTGACTGGTTTTGCTCTGTGTCATGGTGCATTATTGTGCAGTAAAATGAGTTTGTGTTGTGTTTTCTGATATTCTGGTCGTTTTTCATGCAATGCTATTGTTACATCAGGTTTTAGCAGCTCAATAATAGATACACCCATTTGATCCTACCAACACAGAGCACTGTCTTCTTTCCATTGCAATTTCGTCTTCCAATCAATGTTGATGATTCACCTAGATTTACCCATGATCTTTTATGCTTAGGTTTCTCAAAATACATCTACTTTTCATCACCTCTCACAATTCAATAGAGAAATGACTTTCTTTTGTACCTGGTGAGCAGCATTTCACAAGTGGTTTTTTGGTTTTCTAGCTGCCTTTCCTTAAATTCATGTGGAACCCATTTTCCCACCTTCTAGATCTTTCCCATGGCTTTCATCAAACTTACGGAGATAACTTCATGAGTTATATTTAATCCATCTGTGTGTTGTTCTTATTGAGTTTGAGTGTCAATCAATGTCACCCAACAATGTTTGCAATTGACTGTCTTCAAATGTTTTTAGAGGTCTTCCACAGTTTTTTATTTCTCTCATCAAAATCGACACTTCTGATTTCTTAAACCACCCAAAACACTGATTTACCAAGACCGTACCCACCATAAGCTTTGACAAGCATTTGATGTGATTCTGCAGCAGTTAAACTTTAACAGAAAATTAATGCTTTCCACAAATCGTAGTTTGTGGGCACATATCTCAACATGTTCAACACTATTAAAAACTACACCATATGAAACAATACAAGTTATATGAAACTTATACTTGCAACAATAAAAGTTATATGAAACTTGTATTGTTGCAAGTCAAAAATCTTAGTCAGCTATTAAAGAAATAAAATGGTGCAAATGATGCGATTTGAAGGTTAATTACATTGACAGCTACTACAATCCAGTTTCCTTTTTACACACCTGGTATGTCTCCTTGTTCAGTATGCTTGCATAGTGGTAGGGAAGCCAGCTGCCATAACGTTAGATTCTAAATCAAATCCCAGAGAGGGCATGGAAATATATAACTGACTATCACCTTTTCTTGCAGATAAAAAATTACTCGCTTCCCTGTGGTACACCCCGGGCAGTGCTCTCGGTGATGATAAATAGGTCCTGCCCACGGGATAAAAAAAGATACTGTTATGAAGAAGATTAAAAAAAAAAGTGTACTTATAACCTTGAATGATAATTTTTTCAGGAAAAGTCTAGTATCTGCCAAGTGTTGGCGATCAACAAGGAGTGCTTGGTGCATTTTGCTTCTTCTCGTGACAGATTGCTAGATTTAAGTTAGCTGAATATCTGCCATGGAAGAGCAAGGTGCTTGTAATTGTATGTTGTAGGAGCAATATTCTGCTCAGAGTTAAATTATATGCTTTAATGTTATTTTATTTCGAGAACCAGAGCTCAGAGCACTGAAAATAAAAATAGGTATGCTAACACTAAAAGAAGTTTGCATTTCTGGATCTGAATATGAAGCATAAGAATTTTTAAATTAGGTTGGAAAGTTTAAAAAAGAAAAGAGAATGTCAAAAATGGGAAGAAGGAAGATTTGTTAACTGTTTTATTGGAAACTGGCAGAACTGAAACACAAACTTCAGAACAGAAATCAAAGATGTCGACTTTGTGAAAGAAATTCTGATCATTAGAGTGAAGAACAGAAAAAGAAAGTAAGAAATGGAAGATGAAAATAGAAAAAAGAATACAAATGGAAGAAAAAAGATTGAGAATAGAAAGAGCAAACTAGCAAAGACTAATTAGCTAAGTAGCAAATCGAATTAGCAAAGATTTTAGCAACTCAAAGAGTTCCAAAATAATTCAAAGCGGAAATATTATTGAAACTAATTGAAGAAAAAGCTTTAGATGTCCTCATCTACACAAAGGAAGATCTACAGAATTATGAAAAAGTGAAAACTCTTATTCTAAAGGAATATCAACCTACTCCTCAACCTGCTGAAAACATTTTAGAAGATCTACACGTTATTCCAGTGAAATGCATATTCAGTTTGCTTCACAACTGGCAGCCACATGGGACTATCACTGTAAATTAAAAGAAGTAGAAGATTTTGGAACACTCTGGAAATTAATTACTTCTGAGAAATTACTTCAAGCTTATGGAGAAACAACAGCATAAATAGCGAAATGCCAAGGAAATAAATGACCAAAACCACAAATACATGACAAGCTAAAGAATGCGATATCTGTTTTGCAGCAAAACAAAAATCTTTTAACAATCTTTTAACAGGAAATAAATGACCAAAACCACAAATACATGACAAGCTAAAGAAAGCGATATCTGTTTTGCAGCAAAACGAAAATCTTTTAACAATCTTTTAACAAAATGAAGCTAAACAACCACCGAGATTCATGGATACATGTATACAAAATAAATATATTCCTCCACATGGGACAAGAAATTTTTTGTAGCATTAGAAGTATGAATGGGAGCATTGCCGTGCTGGTATACCCAATTACAAAGAGAATTGTCATATGCAACTGCATCTCAGAATTGTCATATGCAACAGATCCATTTGTCATATGCAACTGCAATCTCATTCATTTGGCATTGAGAATGGTAATGATTGAGCCATTTTTATGTGAATCATATATAACCAGATTCCTTGATTCACCTATGAACAGTATTTTTGGATATTTGCTATCCACAAGCCCTTGTAATTTGGTGAACCAACGTTTTCTGAGTCAAAGCCATTCTTTGTATTTACCTATCACTGTGAATATCCGTTACTTACGGTCTTCCCGAACATGGTTTTGGCTGATGTGGTGTCTAACAAGAATACACGATAAATCATGCTTACAGATCCGATTCTGAAGTTTTGAAATTTCTTTAATAACCTACCATGCAATTTAAAGTTCAGAATCCTATTAAATTTAACATCAGAAATTTGTGTAGCTTTAGGCATACTTAGACACAGTTCAAATGATCTTTTTTCCTTTTTAAATTTTTAAATAAATTAAAATTAAGTTTCAATGAGGGCATTATCATATAAAAGGCTTTATGTATTTATCCCACCATGATTGTTGCTAACTAATTTACATAAAATTACATTTGCCTCCAAACATATATTTATTTTTTCTGAAAGACAAATTGATATTTTTGTTAAATATTTACTTGAATGCAAGGCACGTTTTTAATAATTTTACAATTTATTAAACATATTTTAATTGGTTAATTTTAGACATTCCTGTTTTTCTTAACCATGTAATTTACTTGGGTCTATAAACTTTTGGAACAGAGTGTATTATTAAACGCATGATGGACATATGATGCAAGAATTTCAGTATCTTGTACCATCAGTATCTTGGTTCTTCTGGCATTCATTCACAAGAACATGAGAACCTGAAGGGAAAGCTGATGTCGCCTATAACAGATAAGATTTATTTTGGAAAAATCTTTCCTGAGAAATTCGTAAGACCTCGATAATATCAGAAGTAGCTCATTCAATTGAACCAATGTATGTTAAACCTTTGAACAGTGTTTGATTACAAAATTTGGAATATTTAAAAAAATTTGAGGAAAACAAACCAAATTAAAAAAAAAAAAAAAAAAAAAAAAAGCTGGTTATGGCATTAGTGCATAAAATACAGCAATACCACTGATGGACAGCATTATGCATATCTTGCAATGTTTCTGCTTCTTTTCTATGCATGTAAGGGCACTAGCCGTAGATTATATTCGCAGAGAGAGAGAAAAAGACAACTAAAATATAAACTTCTCAAAATATTTGTTAAAAGTAACATGAATAAAACTTGTAATTTAGGTATCTACAGCTGAAGTTAAACAACAGCTGTTCCACACATACATTATTCACTTTCAGAAATAGCTTCAGAACTGGATGTCTTCTTGTTCCACAGTCAAGAACACATACTTTAAAGACTCAGTTATATTACAGGTAGCCAGCAACATAAAACCATATCACATGTGACTATTAAACTGAATGAGGTGTTCAGCCAGACAACCAACAAATGGATTGTGCAGCGCTTGCTTCACCTAATAAATGAACTTCAGAAACTGAAGATGCATGTCAGTATCAATTTCCAACTGCATCATGCTGATTGATGGGAGGTTAAGAATATGATGCCAGCTTTATAAAGCCATAGATCGAGCGTGCCAAGTTAGAACTGTACAAGTTCATATTGACTTAGTTGCGTTAGGGGAAATTTTCTTTTGGCAATTAGAACTTAAGCACTTGTACCAAACACCCTCACTGCATCTAAGCATACAGATCTGTTGAAAGATCAAAACATCTGTAAGTGCTTTTCTGTCATCTGGATGGAAGTGAAATACATCGGCAGGACAAATGTTTTTATCACAGATACTGGTTAGCTATTACTGGGTTCAAGTACCATCAACTGCCCTTGTCACAGATCCCAGTTAACTGTCACCTGGTTCAAAAAACATTATACTGAATTCTACCTTCTACAATAGCAAATGAAATTCCATTGACAAAACTTACAGATAATCTGGAAAAAAGTGTGCCTATTATTCACCATCAGCTTCCTTATCTGATTTACAGGAAATTCAAGACGATGCTTAGCAGACCACATCTCTAGAACATTTTCACGAGCCAGCTGAATCCATCCTCTGTCAGTGGCAGCCTTTTTAAGGTCTAAGGAATAGCCAGTTGCTCAATCAAGTATCTCTAACTCAGTATACTGGTCTATATGCGAACTCATGTTAATTTCTAAAGACAAAGTTTCACAAGAGTAGCATTTTTTTTTTGTAAGAACACAGGTGTAAAGTACTAAAATACATACTATGTCATTAAATGTGAAAACCAAGGAGGCAACTTTTGAGCATTCTTATGTGAAATCCTAATCTGCCAAAAGATTTGGAAAAGTATACAATTAACAATGAGAATGGTAAATATTCAAAAGCACTATCAGTTGATGTGTGAGATCTGGCTAGAATCAAAAACCATTAGAATTCTAAAGAAATTAATCTTTTAATTATGGGTATTTCAATGAAACTTCAGAAGATCGACAAAAAAAATAAATAAATAAATAAATAAATAAATAAATAAAATAAAAAAATAAAATAAAAATAAAATAAAAAAATAAATAAATAAATAAATAAATAAATAAATAAAAAATAAAAAAAAAAAAAATAAAAAAAAAAAAAACTATTCAGTCCCAAGTACTTTTTCCAGTGAAGCAATAATATGAGCAGGTTAACACAGTAAATGTACACTGATCTTTTCTTATGATCTTAAAAGAATGGATAGGAACTACGGGTGAAAATCACAAAAATTTGCAATTTGCTGAATGCAAATGACAACTGAGAGTATAAAAAACAGCCATAACATATATAAATCCAATATTAATGATGAATTATTTCAAACCATACATTTGTACAGCTTACAGCTCATTTCTGGAGTAGCTAAAAATACCAAAAGAAGTAGCAGCATTCAAATGCTTTCTTTAGGAGATGCTTATCTCAAGATATCGATTTCCATATACTTTTCTGAACAATTTCAATGCAACAGCTGCAGCAGAGTGGAATTTAAAAGCTTGTTTGAAGTTTAAGTTTAGAAAGTTCTCTTGAATTTCTGTCTACAGAAGACATCATCCAAAATTACTTACCATAAAAGGTCATCAATTTACAGCAGATTGTAAATGCTAAAAATATATTTTTTACAATCAAGGTCAAAGGATGTTATGCTTTGGAAATATTAATACATTTATCCTATACAAGGATTGTACTGATTGTCTAGGATGACAAAAATGGAGCTGGTACTCCTAGTCTATTTACCATCTTAGTACTATGAAATAAGCGCAAAAATTTACCATAAAACTCTTTTTTTTTTATGCCAAAGTGCTAGAAACAATGCAACACCTACAGTGTTTTGTACCCATAAAGTAACACTGCGCAGGAACTAAAATATATTCAAATAGCTTCATAAACAAAGAATGCTATCTTGTATTGATAAATACAGTATAGTACCAAAAATGTATTTTCCTTCCTTTATCATCCTTCTTAACAATACTTTCCCACAAATTAATTATTGTAAGGATGCAGTAACATATTACAGAGAACATACAAACTTGCATCAACACTCAAATAGGCACAACATTTTAGCTTTGCTCATTAAGAGTTGTGTTTAAATAACAATTATTAGCTACTTAACTAGAATGCAAAATTATTTATTTATTTATTCTGTATTTCCAAAACCTTTGATTTATGAGACTGACATTGAGATTATTATATAAAGTAATAAAGTGATAAAAATTGTTTTCAATAACAAGAAAGTAAATCCCCAAATAATAAATCTCATGATCAGATGAAATCGGCATGCCATCCAGAGGGTTAATCTATAGAGACTTGGACTTGATATGCTTTTTAGAGACATGAAATATGAAAGTTCAGTTCTACACTTACTAAAAGATTTGAACTACATATTCTTCCAATAATTACACAGATGTGCTCGCCACTTATACAATGAGAGTTGGAATGCAATAGTCCTATACATTCTTACCTACTTAAAAGTACAGATTCAGAAAGGCATAAGACCCAATCAACTAACTCCAGAAGGTGGCGAGTTAACATCCATGATATTTCAATTTGGATATTACTATATAGACTATAAGGCTTTTCCTTTTAAGCAAAAAGAAAACAGAAACAACTGTATCCTTGCAGCCTTGAACCTTCCAGCTGTTACCTGGACCTGCTAATCATTTACATCAGAATAGCACTAACAATGGGATGTGATAATTCCTATTGTTTATGTTACTGTCAAGGATTTTAGTTAATAAAGGGCTATTAACAGTTTGGGAAACAAACAAAAAAAAATTATACTAGATTTTGAAAGCATAAGTATATTGGGTCCTTCAGGACCAAATGATTACTTAACAATAGTAATCGAAAGATGACCTACATTTTTATTGCTTAAATAAATTTCATTCAAATGCAACAGTTTTCAGCAAATCTACACACATCTCTGACAGACCCAGTATAAAAAATGACAAATCTTGATCCTCTTTTGTTCTAAATTTTAACACTATTCGTAAGAAAAATGTTACTGAAAATTTTAAGTGAACTGAAATACATCACATTTTATAATATATGAGAGAGAATAATAATACTGTAGGTTTTATGTTTCTATAATTATTTAAAAATTCCAAATTAAACACAATAGCCATTTCATTTTATTGAATGAATGCAGTAACATATTACATAATTTATTGTTTAGTATGCTTAACAGTTATATTAGCAGATGCATCATAATGAAAATGGAATTTAAAATTCACACACTTGCCATACTCATATTTTATTAAGTATGGAAGAGCACAACTTTGCTCTTATTATTTAAGAACTATATATCCAAAAATCTTTTAATTTATTACCGTTGAAGAACCGACTGTTTCTCTTTCACAGTTTGCCAAAGCTTGAGCAAGGAGTCTATCTTCTTCCTCTTGAACATTTCTTAAAAAATAGGAAAAGTTTATATATATATACGAGTTGAATTTATAATAAATATGGCAAATGTATATAATAATGTTATGTATAAATCAGTAAACATATTATGAGATCTATCAAACACATCAATTACATATTTCCTTCTAAAACTATGTCAAAACTTCTACCTACCATAAAGAACATAAAAATCAGATAGCAAAAGTTGGGACACAAAAGTTCAATTAACCTTTGCCACCTGTCTTGAGCTAAGAAACGTGAAACAAAATGTTTAAAAGATATCTAATACAGTTAAAAGAGTTTCTTGATAATTATCTCTGCGATGCAAACCAATACATTCTAATTGAGTTCAAAACAAATAAATTTTGATTATATTATATATTATATGGAACATGAGCATGTTATTTTCATTCTTGTTTCAAATTTAAGTTTATTTTAAATCAGTTAAAAAATCAGTCATATATCTTAAGAGGACAATTATTTAACTTATGAAAATGCATAATATCTTAAATGCCATCATCTAATTTTTACGACATTCTCTTTTCAAAATATTTTCTTTTAATTAAACCACATTTTTACAGTCATTGTATTCCTACAGCAAAAGAATGCATATAAAGTGTTATATCTGTGGCTATGCATACTTTATTTGTTTAGTGAGCATAATAAAAAATTCCAGTGAAAACAAAAGTTACAATTTCACTCAAAGTTTGACCCTGGTTTTCAAAATGATTAAACATTTATTTGTCAAGTAGCAAATCTTTAAATTGAAATATGAGTAATTCACTACAGAGATTTATGATATTTTCTGGGAGTCTCCCATAATCATGCAGATCCCATGTTATGAAACTGATATTTTCATAGCAAATTAATGATTCAGAGAGCAAAAATTGTGGACATTTTTATATAATCTTTCATAATCAGATGAATCCTACTGTATAAAATTGACATCTTCAGAAGTCTACAGAAGATTCATTATCCATCAAGCAAAGATTCAGGAATAACTCATACACGTCCTACTGAATGAAACTTAAATTTTTCGAAACAAATTCATCATTCACTCAGCAAGAATTCAGTATACTTTCAGATATTTTCCATAAATATGCAAACTATAACGTATACAACTGACATTCCCATAGCAAATTTATGCATTTTATGTTACTGATAATCACTTTATTATTACTATTATTTACATGTTTCGTCCTAAGGCACTACACGGAAGGGAAGGATGCCTTCGTGGAAGACCTTCTAAGGGAAACTGGCTCGTATTAACATGTCACACACAGAGAAAACCACAAAAATGCCGATGCAACCAGCCAGATTGTGGAATTTCGAACCTTATACCGAACTACCAATGTTCAGGAACTAAAGCATGCTTTACACTGCACAAATAAAATATTGCTTCATCATTGAATATTACACAGATGGCAAAATTACTGACTTGCAGTCCTTAGAAAATTTAATCATCTGACTAAATGTTACATCTTTATTTACCATTTTTAGAGTAAAAAAACTTTGCTTCTGAAAAAGGATGACTTACATCAGATTGTACTCAAAACTGATAATTCAAATCTTGTACCAAATTTAAGGTTGCTTTGTTGCCTAATTTCAAATCCTCTGTCTTGATTTGAAAACTTTCCCATTACTTTTATCATCTTAAGCTTTTTTTATTCTCTTTTAAAAAGCAGAAGTTTTTTTATAGCAGGCAAAATTAGATTTCACTGCTTTACAATGCACATTTTAAGTTACAGTTAAGTGGGAAAATAAATAGTGTTCTGGAAATTTTACAGCTCCAAACACAGAAACCATTCCTTACACACCAAGTTTATTACAACATGCGAAAAAAATCAGAACATTACGTTGTGAAGATTGGTCAATATGGCTAACACTGCTTTCATATCATATAAAATTTATTAACTAATGGATAAATTAATGAGGATTCGCACATATAGCAAAACCTCAGTTTCATTTCCAAAACAGTGGAATATTTTTCGATGGTCATTAATGAGCTCATCTTCTCGTATTCCAGTTGCATACTGCAGTGGACACAAATAAACACAGCTGGCATCACAAGTTCATGCCTAAATGGCAGCGAACAACTCCCACTCACAAATTTGATTTTTACTCCAATGCATGCAGATGAAATAATCCAACACTTTTTAGTACAAATGATTGGAATTCACAAATTAGTTGCTTTTACTTTGCAATGGGAGTACTAAATAATTTCCTCCATTACACAGGTGAATATGGCAGTTTTTTCAGGAATTTGTATGGCCATATTTTGAATGCATGTTATGATGGAGAAGATTTTTAGCAATGAGAAATGCCACACTGTGTACCATTTCATGTTCCAATGTCTACCAGACACAAAACTATGTTTAGGTATATATATTAATTACATTTTTGATAATAATAATATCACATGCCTTACTAATCTGGAAAATAATTATCTAACATATCTTATTACATTTTGAAAACTTAGTATTAATATTAACCCTTTGACAAGCGGTGGTCATGCCCTGAAACCACCAATTTTCAAATTTTTTTCTCCTCTTCTCTTCAAAATTTTTGAGTGAAAATCGATTGATTACTGATCTTTTACCTCTAAATAACACAAAATGACTAAAGAATCATACATGTTTTAGGTCTTAGTACTTCAAATCAGAAAATAACTTCCTTTTATTAATATAAAAAAAAAAACTTTAAATTAAAAAAATTATTCATCGCACATCAAGATTTCTATCATAAACAATAAAAAATAGCAATAATTAAACTGCATATATACAAAAAAACTCTCTATATGTATGGCATTTGCTTTGCAGTTTCAGGGGGCGACCACTGCCCCACTAGAGCATTGTGACACAATGCTCTAGAGGCTCGGTGGTCACGCCTTGAAACCACTGTTCTTCACAATGGCGTTTGCTTGCTTCTCAGATAGGAATGTTTATTTTTACCCGGATGCATAGATAAAGGAGTTTTGCAAACCAAGAGAGTTATTTTATTACTAAACAAGTGAAACAGGTCACCTGCCCAGTGAAAAGGTCTTTCTTTTCCAGAGACTTTTTTCTCTGAACACACTTGCTTCCCAACACTTGACTTCCCCAAGACACACTTAGCTTATTGTGATTTTATAAATTATTTCCGCTGTTGTTTAAATTTAATGTAAATATACTTTGCTATAATTAAAAAAAAGAAAATAGAAATTGCATTATTTATTTAAATTAAAAATATTTTCTGAATATTTTGGGTGAAATACGAATAAAATAAGTATGAATGAGAAACGAACGATCCGTACCAAAGCCAAAAAGACCAAGCCCCCCCCCCATTAACATAAAAAACCACAAATTTCATGTGCCAGATGAAAAGAAACTAAATAACGCTGGACATATACTAGTGAAATTTAGATCCAGGCAGTGTACTTTTTGTAGCACAAGGAAGAAACCTCATAAAAGATACATATGCAAAACGTGCAATGTGGGTCTATGCGTGTACCAAAAAGACAAAACATGCTTTGAACAGTGTCACAAAAAAAATTTGTTCTTTGAGATTTAAAAAAAAAAAAAAAAAAAAAAAAAAACATTGAAGCTTTTTTTTACCCTTAATTTTCTGAGTTTTTTAATCCACTTAGCCAAACGTCCTTATTATGTAGGTCACTGCTACAGAAAAATTACATAAATGTTTATTTTTTAATTTTTTCTGACGATTTTCTTTGTAAAATAATGTAAAAAAATTATATATAATGCAATTCTTACATACATTTTTTTTAATTCGTAAATTTAGTCATTTATTGGAAACGTGCACGGAGAAAGGTAAGTTTTTTCCCCCTACTACCTCAGTAAGTTTCAAAGTCCTAGACGTGCGGTGGTTTGATGGTTTCACAGTGCGACCACCACCCACAAAACAATGGGCAAGAGTAGATTTTTTAAATTCATATATTCTTTGTCTTTATGATCATAATATTCAATTTCTACAGTTTTTAGTTAAAAAAATTATAAAAATAATATTGCGCGCATCAAAGAGTTAGAACATTATTATACCTACAGATTAAAAAGTTATCAAAATATAATGGCAAATAACAAAGCATTTTTATTAAAATTATTATTTGTTATAGCATAACATGTTTTTAGAAAGAGCATAAAATTGTAAATTCCTACATTGCATGTATTTGGGAAGAAATAATCGCTTAATTTGCAACTGCAAAAGATTTAATAAATTTGATACTTTCGTTAGTGTCTAGAATATTTAATTGCCAAAACTAACATACTTAAATATCCAGTTTGTAACACACAAATTTCATATCCCACAAGTCTTCTGTAGTGGCCGTTTTATCAAGAAAGAACCATACATTTTATGTTAAAGACTAAATATAAAAGCAAATTTATTATAAACTACTTTTCTACAACTCTACAGGGTCCTAACATTTCAGATGCTGAAATACTACAGTAAAACTTCAATAAAATGTTATCTCTAAACATTTATTTATTAAAGCTGTCTGTATTTTTTAAATTAAAATTTATTTTTTAATACACATAAAGTTCTTTTTTTGTTTAGACTCATTTTTTCTAATTAAATTTGAAAATTTCATATAACAGGAAAAGAGATCAATATAAAGCCCCTTTAGTTTATACTCAGTCCCTCAAACAATCGAAAAACTGAAAACAAAAATAGTTTTAGACTTACTTGGGTTTAGTTTCATTCATAGACTTTTGCAAAGCTAGAGCCAATGCTTCATCTTCAGACTGAAAGAAAATCCTTAGAAATAAACAAGAACTTTAAAAAAATTAATAAACAATAAAAAAAATCTGAAATATTTCAGATTTTAATGATCACTCAAAAGGGCTTGACAAGGATTTTTTATGCACTCGCTCAGTCTGCCAGTCTGTCCTAGCATTCACTCCTGCTAACCCATTTATTTTTGTCTTTTTAGTAACATTATTAAGCATCATTTTCTTCACACTTAACATACAGTTCAACAACAAAATCACAAAATTTCTGAAAATTTAAATTTCTTTCTGTTCAGTTTTCTTGGTAAGATGGCTTACAAAACCTCTTTTTGTCTTTTTATCATTAAACTTTAGTGTGTTATCTTTTTCTATTAAATATAATGTTCTTTGCACATATGCGACATAAAATTCAATTTGACAGCAAAATCATAAAATATTTTAAAATGGCATACCTTTAGAATTTCTGATAGTCTCACACAGGAGATAAAAATGTTTTATTCTGTATTGTTTTACCACTGCTCGCTTTTGAATCCTTGAATTTGTTACTTAAATATCCATTAAAAATTTCCCATATCTATATAATATAACTTTATGAAAATATTGAATACAGTCAAAAGTCTTTAATCCGAATGTCCATAATCCGGAATGATCTATAATCTGGACCTCAAAGCTACAAAACTTTCTGCGCATAATGTATAACGGACAGTATATGCTAAGCTAAAATGATCTAATTATCTATTTCAGTTAATGTTGCAGATTGCATTGTTCTTTAATCTTCTAATTGGATCCGGCTTATTATTTTTTGCAGACTGTTAGAACAATTTTATAAAAGTAAGCTTGAACTATGTCAAAAAGAATTTCCGATTCTGGAGCTGCCGGAGGATCTACAAAGCGAAAGTATGTTTCGATGTCCATCAAACAAAAAGTGGAATTACTGCAAAAAATGGTTAAAGGCATATCCTTTGTTTCTCAAACCATTCCAAAATCTGTTTATCAATTTTACGCTACTCTGCAGAGGAGGAGGGGGAAAATGTCGCAGCGCGCAATGAACTGGAAGTTGATCTGTCAACACTATCCTTATCTTCAGGGTAGATGTTTTTATTTTATTCGGCCTATAATTCCTAAACTAAATGTAGTATTTCATCTCGATGTACTCCGTCTTTGATATGATTTAAATCAAATTCCTTGTCATTATAAATATCACGAATACACATCAAATAATTTTCTGGTTGCAATTTTCTAATTTCGACTATGCGTAATGTGCATGCGCGCGTTGAAAGAAATGCTTAATAAAGTAAACAAATAAATATTAAGCTTTTTTTTGATAAATTTTGATACCCTTTAGATCATAATTGCTTTTTATTTCATAAATTATGGTTTCATATTTTTAATTTTATAATTTCTGAATGCCATCTTACCAGATTTAAACTGATGATCTATAATATGGAAAAAGCGATAATCCGGAATCGCCGAAGTCCCAACGAGTTTGGATTAAAGATTTTCGTCTGTATTTTTATTAGTTTATTGAGTTAAATGTATTTTTATTATTTAAATCAATCCGATTAAAAGTTAGACATGAATATTAAGAACTGCACCTATTGCTTTCATACAACTTCGTTTGTTATTCCACAAGAGACAGCTTTAGTCTGATATATAATTATTTTAAATTTTGCAGAATGGCAACAGACTCACATGAAAAGTGAAACATATTTACAGCGATTTGATGCAAAATCACATTTAATAATAATAACAAAAATACTAACAACAACAGGAAAATATTCCCCTTTTGAGGTGAAATATAGTACTGTCAAGTTTAAGGAGTGACAAAAGAGAAACTACATTATTATCACTGTTTCTCAATCCTTTTTAAATGACCAAAAGTTTTTAATGACCCAATAATAATAAAATTTCAATAACAAAACCAACAGGAAAATATTCCCCCTTTCGAGGTGAAATATATTACTGTCAAGTTTAAGAAATGACAAAAGAGATCATTATTATTATCACTATTTTTCAGCCCTTTTTAAATGACCAGAAGTTGCTGAGTGATTCAACACCATGGTGTCCTACTCATTAGCACGACTGGTGCAAAAGAGAGTGCAAGAGAAAGTTGGTGACGGGAGCTCCTTTTTATTGTGCAACCCAATGTTTAGCAATGGAGCCAATAAAGGAGAGAAGACAGAAGAGAAAGCGAAAAGTAAGTATGAAGTTGTCCTTGTATGCATACAGAAGACCATATTCAGTCCATTGCCTACAGCACCTCATTACCTGACGCTTCTCACAGTTGCTGCCACCAGCACTACCCAGCTCTCAACATCTCAGTGTAAGTGCCTCTGCTCTTACATTATGATCCTGATATACCCCCACACTTGCTGAAAACATCAAGCTGACATCCTCCCCTAAAGATAACAACACTGGAAAACTAAAACTTTGCACCGCAGTAATCAAAAACTGAAGTCCCAAGTTTGAACTTTAGCTGTTAAGGAAAATTTGACCTACTTTAACATATTCCTTTCTAGTATAATCAATAACTGTAGTGGTTAATTCAAAATCTCATTTCAAATATACAGGAAAAAGTATTTATAATTAACAGAATATTATAATTAATATTTCCATCATATCAATGTACGTATTCTTTATGGATAATTCCCTGTGCATCGAAAAAGGTAATCAAACATTGTTTTAACCCTTGATTTTCCGAAACGAAACTTTCTCGATTTTGGCGATGAGAGACCAGGTCACTCTATGCTTTGGCATTTCGTCTGTGGATCATACGTGACATAGCATGTTTCATCTCCTGTGACAACTGACTGTAAAAATGTGTCATCTTTATCTGCTGCATTGATGAAGTTGCCACAGGAGTCCAATCGCTGCTGATTTTTTTCATCGCTTAAGTAATGAGGGAGAAACATCGCACAAAGTTCCTGTTTAAACAAATCCTGCGTCAATATCGTTCAGACAAGTTTACGAGGAAGATTCAAATCGTTCACCATTATTCGGACGGACAAACGGCGATCTTGTAGCAATACTTTCCTAACTCTTTCGACATTTACCATCGTTCTGCTCATCATCGGTCTTACGCTGTGATCCTCCTCCTCCACACTTTCACGGAAAAGTTTGAACCACTGAAATACTGTCTTGCAAGATAAAAGTTTCTTCGCCATATACACTTCGAAGCATTTCCAAGATTTCCGTAGCAGTTTTAACCATTTTAAAACAGAATTTCAGATTCGTTTTCTACTCCATTACACAATGCACTAACACCTTTCCCGTTTAAGTGACTGCACGAACAAACACAAAACAAAAAACTTTGCAAATGACCCTGAACTTCAATGTTGCATACCGAAGTTGAAAGTGCATGTGTCAGGTTGTCGGGCTGTTCTCATTTTCGAAAGGAGGGGTGAGTCACCTTACTTTTCGGTCTCACCTTTTATATAAGCAAGACTAAGATTGTTATTCGTTTCTTATGGCTGGCATACATACCAGACAAAAGGACAAAAAGATAACCTCAATTAATGAAAATGAACAAAAGAGGAGGAATGATTAAGAAAAATTCGAATTCCTCATGAAAGAGTAGACTACAGTCCTTCAAAATCTACTGTTTTCTGACTTATGCTTGGACGAATTTTATAAGTTTGAGTCTGAATTTTGAAAACTTTTTTTGCATAAAAATTTTAATCCATAGTTTACAAAAGTTTATTACCAGAGAGAAATACACATATATATAATCGCTAGCTATAGAAATCAAAATATTTTAAATTCAAATATTCTGCAAAAGAAGAAGGAAGCTTATTTCTGTTAGCAATTTTGTTGCATTTAGCAGCTTTACTACATTTGGCTCTATTCATGACTTATGCTCGCATCCTTGAAGAATTTCAGGATTTGCCGATAATAGTGGGTGGATGCATGACTATCATGAAATTAAATTTTCTGATTTTTCTGAAGATAACGCTTGCATCACAGTAGATCGAATCCAAGAACAATCTTTTTAATAAAGACAATCAGTATTCTTGTTAATAATATCCATTTTGAAAAGGTGAGCAAAGAAACAGTTAAGACACTTTGAAATTTTCATTCTAGGATAGGTGATTATTCTTTTGCTGTTTACAATACCAATCTGCAATGGATCCATTATATGCCACATGGACTAAGCTCTATATTCACCTACAGGTATAGAAAACGGATGAAAGAATCAGCTGAACAAAATTAAGGACCACTTGCAAATTTTGGCCGAAAATTTCAAGGACCAAAAATAATTTCACAAAAACCTAAGGACTTTTAAAGACTATACAGATAATATGAAAAATATAAAATAATGCAAACTTAATTATTTAACCATCATGCTTGGCTCCCATATAAGCAATAATTCTGCCCATTAATTTCTGTTAAAAATTAGCAAAAATTTATGAGCTATTCATTTATCATTCCCATAACTATTTTAAATACAAAATGGCCAATAGAACATAGAGCAGATCCTGACAATTTGATTTTATGATGACAATTACTTGTCCTAGAATTATGTACATGAAAAATATTTGCTTAAGGAGCTTTTTATAACTCTTGTTATGTCACGTATGTTTGTAAAATATGAAGCAGCTTTATTGAAGATGATTTTGATGTTGAAGAATTTGGATGCAATTATGATGTCTCCCCTGCATATTTCTTTTACATAACATCAAAAAAGTGTATATAAGGTGACCTCTTTTATACAAGATTGATTATGAAAGTGTTTTGAAATTCTTCATATAAAGAATAGTTGTTTAGGTTTTGAAAATGTTTTTTCATGATCCCATATGCAATTTTATATGAATAAAATTATCCTCTTATAAAGCAGTAATATAAATTATTCACACCACAAAATACAGTTTTATAATGTAAATGCATGCATTAAAACTTTCTGCCAAGCTTGTCTGTGTGAGGAAAGCTGCTCATAAAAGCAAAAATGTGCAGTTTCATATCATTTTATATTGCTTAAAAATTTAAAGTTAACAGAAAATATCCTGCCAGTAACAATCAGTTCAACATTTTGAGAATAATAAAATGTGACAAAAAATTTGACTATTTTTGTAAAATATGAAGCAGTATTATATATTTGTAAGTTTTATGAATAATATAAAATGCCTACATGGTTAAATATAACTTTTCCCATATACATATTAAAAATTGAATTTTTTTCAATAAAGGTGAAGTGAAAAATTTAATTTTATTCTAATCTACCTGAAATATAGTTCCGGTTTAAATTTCACGAGCAAAATATTAAATAATAACTATTTTATTTTTATATCACTTTACTTTTCATTTCATATTTAAAAAGAATTAAGTTTTTAACAAACTTACTAATCTTCCTTGAACTGAAGATACAACTGAAACCTCTGGCAACGGTGTAACGTGCTTCTTCTCAACATTAGAGGCACTAGTCTGGTTTGATGACCATGGAAATCTAGACTTTTTTAAGTTTTGGACTCTGGCAATGGCTGCAGCTCTAAAATGAAAATGCAAAATGTGAAAAAAGAGATATTGTTTAATTTTTCATAAACATCTATTAGCACATTAATCATACACTGGTTATCATAAATTAAGGAAAAATCACAAAAATAGCAATAACTCGCTCAAAAATAAGCCAAACCGTGTAAAATTTGAATATGTTGCCAAGTAAGAGTAGCTGAAAGTAAAACTCCAATCTGCAAATTAGTGGTGCTGCACTCGGAATACATCATCTGCGAGGAGCATAAAAGTCCATGTTTGAGAGCAAGCCCACATATTTCATTGTGATAGTGACATCAGAAATCTGAGATAGCCAATTCGTAACAATGATCTCCAGGCATCATCTGCCTGCAGAACCATGATGGAAAGCCATTGAGAGACTAGAGGCAGGACAAAGTTAAACAGAAGTGGCCAGATGGCTAAATGTAAGTCTTTCTGTGGTTCATAGACTTTGGAGGCAATTTCAAATCACAGATTCGGCACCTAGGAGGTTCAGCCAAGGACAGCCAACTGCTACAACAAGAGCCGATGACCGATATTTAACATTATGTGCACTCAGAAATAGAACTGCTACTCCAACTCTTCTTAGATCTTCCCTTGCTGCAGCCACCGGAAGGTTGGTGTCAACGTCAACTGTGTGTAGAAGGCTTCACGAAAGTGGTCTGTATGCGAGGCAAACAACCATTTGCATGCCGCTCAAGTCATGTCATAGGAGGGACCGTTTGCAGTGGGCACAACAACATGTCTACTGGTACGGCTGAGCAATGGAAGGCTATTCTCTTTACGGAGGAGTCCAGGTTTTAGTCTAGAACGCAATAGTAGGCGTTATTTAATATGGAGAGAACCTGGAACCCATTATCATCCGTCAAACGTCCGTGAAAGAGATGCATACAGAAGAGGCAGTGTCTGCGCTTGGGGTGGCATCTCTTTGGGTGGACGCACAGACCTCCATGTTTTTCGAAGGGAAACCGTGAATGCTTATGTTTATAGAGATGACATCCTTGATGCTTATGTGTGCCCATATGCCAGGGCAATAGGTGACGCTTTCCTGTTACAGGACGACAAATGCAAGACCACACAGGGCTCGCATTGTATATGATTATCTTCAACAGGAAACAATTATGCACATGGAGTGGCCAGCTCGATCACCGGACTTGAATCCTATCAAGCATGTTTGGGATGCTTTAGGGATAAGTCTAGCTGCACTCAATCCGACCCCGCTGCCGCGCTTGCAACTGCTTTGCAATAGCAATCGCTCTCGCTTCCTATGCAACTGATAGACCACATAATTGAAAGCATCACACATGGCTGAATGTGCTGTATTGCTTCTAGAAGCGATTATATTCCATATTGAAGGTACTTTTACTATAGCAAACTGAAATCTTCAATTTGTTCATTTTATTCATGTGCTAATTTCTATACTACCATAATTGTCTGGTAATTTCTTTTTATGTTATTAATGCCTTACTATGTGTTGTATATTGTTATTAATGCCTTACTATGTGTTGTATATTGTATCATAAAATTCTACATGTAACTTTTTCAGTAGTCGTGATTTTTTGCGATTTCTCCTTAATTTATGATAACCAGTGTAGTTCAAAACATTATCATTTTACACATGGTACATAAAAATTCATAGAAATCTTTATATTAATTACAGATGACAACTTCAAATTGGCAGCTTTCACAATAGAAGCTTTAAAATGTATAGTATACATAAAAGGAACTAGAAATAATTTGAATTATACATATATCATTAATTCATCTCTTAACTTTTAAATATTCCAGATGCACAAGTCAAGCAGCTTTGAATTTATGCTTACAATTTAGTGGTGAGTATTTAAACCACCAAACTGCTAACACTTCAAGTAATTATTACATACCTAAAGAAAATTATATTACACACTTTTAATTTACATTTATAAACCAATCAAATTCTGGAAACATTCATTCAGCATGGATATTTTACATCAAGAATGTCATTTAATTGAACAGTAGTTATATGTACTTATTGGGTAATAAAGTCAAAATTTATTAATTCAAAATTTATTAATTCCAAGTTTAGGTTTACACGAAACAAAATGCATTAACAAACTTAGCAATATCAACCCTACTTATGTATGAACAAATAATTGTTCCTACCTTTCACAGAAGTGATACTAAGCATAATCTTAAATTCACACTCTTAAATATTTCAAATTGTTGTCGATAAATTATCAAGCCTATCCATAAAATCATCATATTTCTTTGGTTATATTTTAGGACACTATATTTTAGTCTATATTTTAGGACACACCTTTTATTATCGCCAAGTTTTCATTTCATTTATGGTAACCTGAGTAGTTGAATGTTATGGAAACCCTGTTATGGTGCGACTAGTCGTAATGCCTGATTGCCGTGATTTTGACTGATGGGGAAAATATTTGTAACGGCTTACTTAGGTATGGCTGTCGGTTAGGAAGTATGTTGCTTATTTTGTGCTTTACACCGTAAAATGCCTGCTCATGGTACGATTAACCTGAAGTTTTTGTACACTTTTGAACGATTGGAATGGAAACATTGATTGATTGGTATGTAAATGAAACCTCTCGATAAATTACCCAGCAAGATTTAGAGATTTCGAAACCAGAGCTCATATCAACACTATGGAAGGTATGTGGGGTATAATAAAAATCGATTTTCAAAAGAAATGCTACAGACAGTTCAGCAGTATGGAGGATATTTTACATTTTTACTTTTATGAATTAATGTGGCAATGGCAGTATACAGATTCTAGTTCAGATAATTTTATATAGTTTTGGATGCTGTTAAGGAATTCCATGTATCACATATCGAAGAAATGGGAATTTTTAAATATTATATTTAAAAATAAAATTTTATAAATTATGTATTTCAGAGATGAAATGCAGTGGTGTTGCAACCTTAAAATTTATTGCAGTAAATGTATCCGGAAAGGCACATGGTTCGAATCATCAAAATTAAATTTCTTGAAGTCTGTGAGGTTTGTTTATGGTTGGAGCAAAGAATTAACGTCAGTTAAATGGTCTGAAAATGAGTCAGTTAGAAATCAGTCATGGAACAGTTGTGGACTGGAATGGCATGTCATCATCTGAAAAGTTACCTCATGGAATTGATGTGGAAAAAGAAAATGACAGACCCATTTGAAAAAAAAAAAGAATTTAAACAATGTTAAAATGTTTATGCCTCTAAAGTAAAAAAAATCTTAGAACTAACATTTGTTAACATTTTTTTATGTGCATACTGTGTGTTATAGCCAATAAAGTCTGCTTGGCAAGATTTGCATCGGCAAAACGGAAAAGCACCGAAGCAATTCATGTAGCTCTGTGATAACTTTGCTGTTGTAGGTCCTTTTTCTCCATAGTTGTCACCCTCTCAGACTCTAGGTTTATCATTCAAGCTCTTGCTAATAACAAAACTTGAGACTCAAAACACATTTATGAGTGCAGACATGTTTTGAACATTCTAAATATTTTGACTAAATAGCGCTGTAGGCATAGTGCAGTACAGAGAAATGAAAGTGCAGATTTTTGGCAAGAAGGGAATTATTGTCCTCTGCAAACCCAAAAATCTTATGAACTACTAAAAACGAAATATGGAATTTTGCAAGATTCATAATTCAAATTTCTGCATAAAAGCTAGGGCTGGGAACCTTGGCAGTATCTCTTGAACATGGGATATGATATCCTCGATTCTTCTCATGTTACGGCTGTGGCTTCATTCTGTCTTTTGACTGGACATAATTGCATCAATGCTCATCTCTCCTATATTAGACTTAAGAATTCTCCAGTGCATTTACTTTACAACTCTGGACAAAATATGAACAAAAAACATTTAAACAAGTGTTCTGCACTTAACCCCGCACTGCTAGCATGGCATCCCACAGACGCCAGGGATGTTTCTTTTTTAATTGCTTTATAAACAGATGCACAAGCAAGCTTATGCTGCCGTCTACCTTTCTGTCAATTATACACAAACAAGTAGAAATCATCGAAACAATGCTATTTTCCTTTAAGGGCTGAAAGGAAGAGGTTATAAGCTGTTGTGCACTACTGGAGCCTAGAAGACACCCCGCGACCGTTTTTGATTCTAAAGGTATCGTATTTGACGGCATATAAGACGCACCCTTATTTAGAAGGTACCACAATAACTTAAAATGTGGTTTCTTTTAGTTCGCATGTTTCGTAAAAGCCAAATAAACAATCATTGAATGCAATTACCAAACATATTTTTATTAAGGAAAATTAACAAATGACAAGCTATTTTGAACATGATATGTAAATTTCAATAATGAATAAATGAATGAATAGCAAGCAATCAAACATAATACAAAATAAAGCAGAAAAAATAAAAACCATGGATTCAAAGAAAACGTTGCCTATCATGAAATTAAAATTAGACTTTAATCACTTTCAAGACCATAAAAATCCTTTTCACTATTATTATCATCATCGAAAACGAGAATATCGTCTTCACTACTGTTTCCGTCATCGTATCTTTGAATAATGCGTCGTCTTCTGTTCCATCAAGAGCATTACTGATTCCGCACTTCTTAAAGGACTTAATAATTACTTCTTCAACTTTACTTTTCTCCTTCAGCCTTTTTTACGTCCTCACTCGCACACTTTGACTCACTCGCAACTTGTGAAATAGAGGCCGCTTTCATTCTACCTGAGGGTGTGAGGGCGTGATGTGGCTCTCCTATCCACTTGTTCCATCATTCTCGTTTTCACACTTTTTCCTTAAATGGCTTATTCACCGATACATCTAAAGGCTGCAATGGGCTAGTCAGTCCCCCAGGAATGACAGCTATCTGGGTTTTAAATTCTCTCGCTTTATTATTTATCGTTTCAATTCTATGGGCGCTAAACTAATCCAAAACCAAAGCAGAGGGTTTTCTTAAGAGTCCACCAGGTCACCTCGCCCATACGTTCTGTAACCACAGTTTCATTCCAGCTTCGTCCATCCAGCCTTTTGGATGAACATGAACAATTACACCCGTTGGAAGTTTTTCTTTTGAATATGAAAAACGGTGGTAGTTTTGTGCCATCAGCACAACATGTTAGAACTACCGTATATCGGGTTTCTTCATGATCTGTGGTTCTTATGGTTATTGATTTACACCCTTTAATACTCACAGTCTTGTTGGATGGTACATCAAATGTGAGTGAAATTCTATCCATATTTCCTATTTGACCGAGCTCAAAAGAATTTTCTTGCGTGCATTTATAACAAACCTATGAAATACTAGCATTTTTTCTTCATAATCTGCTGCCATTTTCTGTGCAATAGTTGCTTTTGTGCGCATTGATAAGCCTTGCCTTTTCATGAACCTGTAGCACCAGCCCTCAGACCCTGAAAAGTTGATTCCCATGTTTTTCTGCAAATCCTTTGGCCTCATTGATTATCATTTTGATTGAAACACTTATCCCAGATTTCCTCTTATCTATCCACATTTTTACGGCATTTTCAAGTTCAGGCCAAGATGGAGCTGGGCATCAAAGGTTATGGTTTAGTTTTTTAGCAGTCTTCAGTTGATCTTCCTGCAGTCGCCAAGTACATATCATTTTTCCGGTAGGTGGTGGACCGAAATGCCTTGCTGCTGCTCTGTTTCCATGCACTTTGGCGTAGTTTAACTCTCCTAGTTTATACTGAATTGTCTAGCTTAATTTCTTGTTTCCTGTAGTCATATTTTCCAGGGTATTTTTTTTAAGTAAATAGTTTTAAGCACCAATACCGACACGTTTATACAGAGTAGCACCGATACCAACACATGTGTTGGCTGAGTCAAAGAAAGTCTATGTAAAGAAGGAAAGGCTCCATAGATGTAATGTGACCGTCAAACCTGTTCAAAAAGTATTTTAAAATTTATATATTTTAGTATTTTTAATTTATATTATCAACAGCTGTCCATAGTAGCATTTATTTTATTTTATTTTTTTTTTTTTTTTTTTTATTTTAGTGATAGGTGAAAGAATTGTGAATATATATAATTTTAAATGTAAAAAGAATGTATTTCTTTTGGTATTTATAATTTTTGTGGGTAACATTTGTTTTTATTATTTATTTTCTTACCTTTAGAGTCAAGATGACTTCTCAGAAAAAATTCAATATGGCAAATGAGTGTGACAGAGAAATAGGGATACGTATGCTGATGGAAGAATATGAATCAGGCGATGATTTTGATGATTATAGTGATACAGAAGAAGGTAGAGTGGAAACAAGAGAAGAAAACAGACACTGAGCAAGAAAGTCCCCAATGATTGCGATAGTGATGATCATATTGCTGATAATTACTTCCTAGGCTGGAATAAATCATCAAAATGATCAAAAATGTGCCCACCTAAAAATAAAAAATATACGCACTCGACGACATAATATTATCACTCATTTGCCAGGGGTGAAAGGTGTCACAAAAAATGCTGGAAAGCCAGAGCAATGTTGGGCATGATTTTTCGACAATGGCCAGCTATCTAATGTAGTTAAGTTCACAAATGAACAGATGTCCACAGTACAGGAAAACTATTCTCGGGAAAGGGATGCCCATTTAACCAACATAATTGAAATAAAAGAGCTTCTAGGCATATTACACATTTGTGCTTCTAGTAAGGACAATCATGCAAATACCAAGGAGATATGGTCCTCTGATAAAATGGTATTGCGTTATGCCATCTAATAATGTCTGAAAAACGATTTAGGTTCCTTTCATATTGTTTGAGGTTCGACAAGAGGGACACATGAGAGATAAGGAACAAAACTGACAATTTAGCGCCTATACGTTATGTGTTATCTTCATTTCTAGAAAACTGTGAGAATGCTTATTCCTTTGGAGAATATTGTACAGTTGACGAAAGATTAGATACTTTTATGGGTAAATGTTTCTTCAGGCAGTGCATCCCTAGTAAACCAAATGCGGTATAGGATCAAATTATTTGCATTAGTAGATGCTAGTATGTACTGAACTATAAACCTAGAAATATATGCTGGCAAGCAGCCTGCAGGTCCATTCGGAACTAGCAACGAACCACAGATGTTAAATAGATGAGTTCTGTAATCTCAGGAACAGGTCGCAATATAACTGTAGACAAATTTTTTACCTCGTTACATTTAGCTAATTTTTTGCTTCAAAATAATCTTACTTTGGTTAGAACTATGAGAAAGAATAAGAGTGAAATTCCTCCAGAGTTTACACATATAAAGAATCGGGAAGTAGGAACATCATTGTTTGGGTTTCAGAATGAGCCTAATGTCTTATGTAACTAAGGAAAACAAGGTGGTTCTGATTCTCTCCACTATGCATCATGATGATGTAACTGATGAATCATGTCACAAAAACAAAACAAAACAAAAAAAAAACACAAGCCACAGATGATAACCTTTTATAACGCAACTAAATCAGGAGTTTATACTGTTGACCAGTTGTGTAGCACATACAATGTCACCAGGAAAATGAACAGATGCCTTATGGTCATATTTTACAGTATGATGAATGTAGCAGCTATAAATGCTCAAATAATATGTCATGCAAATAACGTATCAATCAGCACCAGGCACAGTGAGTTTTTTAAACTTTTGGGTAGGTTATGATTCCTTGCGTAGATGTTCTCAATGTTCATCATTACCTAGAAACCTCAAGCAGGATATTCAGAGCATTTGCCCAGATGAGGGTACAGTTCAATTTACAGTAGAGGCTTGAACTACTAAAATGCAGAGATGTCATGAATGTGGTCATTTCAAGAACAAGTACACCAAGTACAAATACCGCGGTTGTAAACATTTTTATGTTCAGAAAACACTCAGCAAATATGCATTGATTGCTAATTTATGCAACTAACCAAGACAATTTCACTTGTATTTAAGTTGAATAAAATTAAGTCTCACTGTAAACTGAAGTTCTGTTATTTGTGTTTGTAAAAGGTGGTGTTGGTTGGTGTATTTAATTATGGCAAAGCACACTAGGGCTATCTGCCTAAGAGGAGGGATGCCTTTCGTGGAGGACTTTCTAAGGGAAACTGGCTCGTATACACGTTACACATGGGGAAAACCACGAAAACACCCATGCAGCCAGCCCGTTCGCGGGATGTTTGTAAAAGGATACCACAAATATATGTATGTTATTTCAATAATCTCTTTGCATTCATAAATTTGAGTTGAATAACCTAAATATATATTAATACAACAAAAATATACCTGGCATCTGGTAGACACCGTGCAACCTTTAACGTAACAATATGCCACACGAGCACTGTAGGGTTAAACACCAAGATGCAAGACTCATAATGGCTTTTACTCATAATTCATTACAAATAACTAGCTAAAAGCTAGTTATTTGTAATGAATAAATACAATGACAGTTGGTAATACATGGCTGTCCCATAACAGAATTAAACAATGCCATTTTGAAAAAGAAAAAAATTCAGGACAACAGATTTGAACAGAAAAACCACACAAACTGCATTCTTTTGAATGAAATGTATAAGCATAATAATCGGTTTTAATTCTACAACTTATTGTGAAATGGAAATATTATAGCAAACTAAGAGGAAATCACTCAGCCAAAAAAAAAAGTTGGATTCTATATGCCAAACCTGTATTGTTCAAGACACAGGGTAAACTTTAAAACTTAACACGTGGATCCTCAACAGCTTTAATTTTGAATTTAGTGACTATCACCCCTCCTTGTTCTATTCGCCACTCTACACTTATAAATGCTTTTGACTATTTGGCATGCTTGGACTTTCAAACCTCACTATTGCATTTAAGTGGCAACAAACGGGTCCTCCATAGCCCTAATTTTTAATATAATACTGGTCAACATTCCAACTACATTGAGTTCATGATTTGTTAAGAGTAATATGACTCGAAAAAGGATTCGACTGATACACAGCATGCTCATGTTAAAAAAACTGTATTCTATAAAACTTGAAATTCTAGAAAACTTGTGGTCTATTATAATAAACATCTCGGTAACGGTGACTGTTATTTGAAAATGGTTCAGATATGGAATATGCAATAAATATCCTGAAAACACTTCTAATTTTTTTTTAAATTCAAATGGCACTTATTACCTAAACACACCTTGTATTTATTAATATAAGTACTCAAAAGCTACTTAGAACTTTGATTATTAAAATTTTGAAGCCATATATTTACCCAGCAGCTTGGGCAGGTGTCATTTTCTGCTCTTGACATTTGTGATCTATAGGATGTCTATGTTTGAGGCAGTAGCTTCTGGAGCAAATATCACAAGTGATCCGTATAACCTAAAAAAAAGAAGGAAAAAAAAAAAGAATTTTCTACATACACAAAAAGATGCATCATTTACAATTAAATTTAACTTTACATTCAATGAACGTTTTTTCCTATTAACAATAATTTGCTTACCAAAAAGGAACGTTACATTCTAATACAAAAATTTTAGATTTCATGAAAATTAATCTGATGTAACGATGCAATGCTTAGCAGGTTTCTGTGATTTTCCAACTTTGTGGTTCATGTAATAAATGATGAAACAAGTATTAACTGCCCTCTTTTAATAACTGTGAGATACAGTATAATACTTACCAACAAAAAAAGGACAATTGTTTTTTCTTCAACTTTACAAAGACAACAAGAATTTTATTCAGGATGAAAACCTCTCTAAGTTATACCTGATTTGCAACATCAGTATTTTATTTTTAATTTACTCAATTAATTACTAAATATATTTGAATTTGAAGGCATCTTTTTAACAGGATATATATTGGGCAAACATATAAATTAAAGATTAATTAATATGAAAAGCAAAACACATAATATAGCTAATTCCACTAATAATGAATGATTGCAGTTCACATATTTTTTCATGCTATTCAAAATGTGATAAAAACTTAATCTGAATTAAATAGAAAACAGAGCAATGAAATATATCTTAGAAAATAATAACATGAGCATAACATACAAGGTCCGGCTATTAATTTCTAGGACTGGCATAACTGTAGGAGAAAGAAAAGTGGGAAGATGGCGCTAATGATTGCACATTGAACAGCGTTTTCTTGCGCATGTGGAGTGCATTCGGCGCTATTCTGAAGTAAGTGGTTCTCGGGAAAGGCGCATTAAAACGTAGCTCTTAAATTCCTATTGTCGAAGTGAAAATGGAGCAAAGAATTAACATTAAATTTTGCTTCAAATTGGGCATGACAGCTGCGAAAACCTACAAAATGTTAAAACCAGTTTACAGTGAGGAAGCATTATCCCACTCAAGAACTTTTGAATGGTTTAAACGCTTTCGGGACAGGTGCAAAAGCATCGAAGATGATCCACACACAGGTCGGCCGCAGTCCGTACGCAGGCCGGAAGCAACTGAAAAAGTTTGCGATATGGTGAAATGTGATCATCGATTGACTATTCGAGTACTCGCCAATGAATTCAACATGGACAAAGAGATGGTTCGGCAAATTTTGATGCAAGACCTAGGCAAACACAAGATTTGTTCCAGATTTGTTCCTCACCATTTAAGGGACGAAGAAAAGCAATTGAGACTGGACGCATGTGGTGAACTTATCAACAACACTGATGCGAACCCTGCATTCCTGGATAGGATAGTCATGGGAGCTGAGTCTTGGTGTTATCAATATGACCCTGAAACCAAGCGTCAAAGCTCCGAATTGCGGTCTCCAAGTTCACCAAGGCAGAAAAAATGAAAAAGTCCAAAATCAAGGTCATGTTAATCGCTTTCTTCGATTGCGATGGACTCATTTATCATGAATTTCTTCCTCCTAACATGACTATCAATGGACAGTTCTACACAGAAGCTCTTGACCGACTTCAAAAATGAATTCGTGGAGTGAGGCCTCATTTTTAACAAAATGGGAGTTGGCTGCTGCAACATGACAATGCCCTCCCACACATTACGTTGCTTGTAAGGCGATTCTTAGCCCAGTATGGTGTCATTAAAATGCAGCATCCACCATACTCTCCAGACCTAGCACCTGCAGACTTTTTCCTGTTTCCTAAGCTGAAAAATTCGCTGATGGGAACAAGATTTCAGGATGTCAAAGCCATCAAGAAAACTGTAACGTCACTATTAAAAAGCATTTCAAAAAGAGGACTTTAAAACTTCTTTCCGAAATTTGTACAGCCGAGCACAGACGTGCATTACGGCTAATGGGGATTACTTTGAATCGTATTAAATGGCTATGTGTTTAACCTTTAAATTAATAGCCGGACCTTGTATATTAAAAAATAACTGAAAATAAAAACAATTTTAAATGAATTTTTATGTGCTGCTGTTTTCCACAACACTTTAAACATTGTGGCTATCCTTTTTTCTGAAATTCGTACTTTATCTACACTTCTTATTCAAGCAGCTTCAGCAGAGTCTTCAGCAGAATCTGATGTCTTTTTATGGTTAGCTGAAATTCTTCTTTACTGTCCTAACTACCATCCATTAATGCCTTTCACAATCTCAAAAGAAATTCCATTTGAAAGGGATTAATTTTTTATAACCTTCATAGTCAACATCGATTATTTATTGAGATACACACAAATATGTCGAAGTAGGTTTGTACAACAGACATTCTTCTTCTTCTTCTTTTTTTTTTTTTTTTAATTCTATGCATCTAGTACCCACATATGCCTTCTTGAAAGTGTTCTGCACACTGACACTTCCTCTTCTCTAATACTGATATATTAGCACTTACCTATATTATTACTTGGGTTCTGACACTTTACCACCAACAATACATCTCCTTTCTTAAACTTCAATGCTTTTCTGGATTTAATTGATGAATTAATCAAGCCTGAACACCACAAAAGATTCCATCAAATGAATGGGCAAGTTCAACCATGATGCCATTTTTCAATTCATGGTCGTCGTTTCTCAATTAACCCTCCAACCGGCAAGGCTGTACATATATATGGCACAGAATATTTTTTGTAATGTCTTTAATTTGTGTATATTTTGAAATATGACCAAGAAATTAAGGTAATTGTACTTATCTACAGAATCCATTAACTGTTCACGTTGTGGAAACCCATTAACACTATTTACATTATATCTATCCATCTCTAACTCCGTACATTTGGACACTGAAAATTGTTCTCCTTGCTCACATTTCACCCTTTTTCCTTCCCTGAGCTAATGACTGATCCAGCCCTCTTTTGTGTACCTCTCAGCACTCACCAAAACACTTGTATTGCAAGAAACATACCACAATGTTTTGTGGCCTTCTGAAAAGGACTAAACATTTTACTTGTTCCTCTACACTTGATTAGATATGTATTACAAACATAGGCCAGGTGAGCCTACAATGCAGAAACTTTTGTAGCAAAGTTAATTTCATCAGTGTGGCCAATATGGCTAACTGCCTCAGTAACACTATTTACATTATATTACATTAACACTATTTACATTATATCTATCCATCTCTAACTCCGTACATTTGGACACTGAAAATTGTTCTCCTTGCTCACATTTCACCTTTTTTCCTTTCCTGAGCTAATGACTGATCCAGCCCTCTTTTGTGTACCTCTCAGCACTCACCAAAACACTTGTATTGCAAGAAACATACCACAATGTTTTGTGGCCTTCTGAAAAGGACTAAACATTTTACTTGTTCCTCTACACTTGATTAGATATGTATTACAAACATAGGCCAGGTGAGCCTACAATGCAGAAACTTTTGTAGCAAAGTTAATTTCATCAGCGTGGCCAATATGGCTAACTGCCTCAGTAGATTGGCTGCTTGCTGTCGGTGGAAAGGGAAAAAGCACATAAATCTAGGTATAAAATAGCACAGGCATTTTGGCATTAAAATCAAGAAAATAACTCTTTTTCATTGTAAGAAATTTGGGGGTTCTTAGCAAAAGCATTTTTTGGTTGAAGGGTTAATCTTTCGCATTGTACAGTCCAAGATCCAAACTCGTCGGGACGTGATTCTGGATTTGGGATTTTTCTGGGTAAGGGATATAAAATATTAATAAGTAATAAATCATCAATGTTTCGGTTTGAGATGTATGCAAAGCAGATATGCAGCTACAAAGCCAAATTATTAATTACACACATTTATGCTAAATTATTGTTTCTTTAGTAACAAAAAAGTATTTATTTAGTGCCAAAGTGAAATTAAAAATCTGGACTCTCCACATGTTTTAGTATGGGGGAGGGAATCAAATGTGCATGTGTGAAGCATACAACAACAGGGGAAAAAAAATGCTGGTTTTGAGGTCCGGATTTTATAGCATTCTGGATATTGGACATCCAGATCTTCGACAATGTACTGTATCTCGTATACTAACTAGCACAGTGAATAGTAACACTGACTGTTGTATTAAAAGACTCCGGTTCGAATCCTAGAGAAGGCATGGATGTTTGTAAGTATATAGTGTCTGTGCAGCTAGTCAGATTCAAAATATACAAGGCCTGAAAATCCTCTCGAAATATTGGTGATAAGAGAAGAGGGGTGAACCCTACCCCCTCCCAAGTGTTCTCCCTTAAAACTAGAGCAAAAGCTTTACAGTTAATAAAGCTCATCGATACCTACATGGGCTCCCTATAAATGAAAACTTTAATATAACTTCCTACATATGTGAGTTAGAGCCAACTACTTGTTCATTGCTGCCAAATATTCATTGACTCCGAGTTTACTACGCCTGCAGTTGATTGTATGAGGGCGAGTCTAAGGAAAATTTTAACACTAGCATTATGGTGTTTTCCCGTACACCTATAATTATGATCCGTAGTCATTTTGACTGCTTGCTCCAAGTAAAAGAAAAGCCTCGCTTTTTGCTAACATTACGTAAATCTTATGCTTATAACGATACATTTTGCTTGTTTAATAAGTAAATACAGTAAATTTAGTAAATATATGTAGCCAAAAGATAATTTAATGTAACAAAGAGCAAAATAAAGTGAGTAAATATATTAATCAATGGATAATTTTATACGACAGAAAGCTAAAAGAAAAAAAAATCACTCTAGATATTTTTAAACTTCTTATTTAATAAACTGATAAATATTATTGATAAAAATGAGATTACACATTACTCGGTTTTGCAGTGCATACAGATTACTATTTTTTTTATTTTTACCTGTACTGGTTCCATGAACATATTTTTTATGGTATTCACAAGTATTCAAAGTTTTGTTACCTCTGCATTTTGCCGTAGTTAGAGGAGGGCGTGGGACACATGCCTGTTTACCTCTGTTAGACAACAGGCGTTCCAGTCCTCCTTAAACTACCTACCTACCTCTGCATGCATTTATTTGGCATTGTTTAAGCTTGCGGGAAGGATTGACACAAGTATCAATTCTCTTTTCGTCAGATGCAGGAAGCTTGTGAATTTTGGATGAAATGTACATTTTTCGAAGCTTCTCAGCCATAATCAAAATAAAATCATAACTGCTGTTCTCATATTCTGTTGTTCCCTTGTAAATTATCCTTGCATTTATCATGGCCAAATTAAGAACATTAAATAAAACTTGAATTGGATAACTACTTCACCGAGTATTTTCTGGTCATCTGGTCCAAAACTTGAACTCCATATTTGGTGGATTTGTAAAAATTCACAACTTCCGGTGCCTTTTTTTCATTAGATACAATTTCCAATATTGAGTGCATGATACTCTTGAGCAGGATATTCTTACTTTTTTCCCTTCATAAGACGTATGCATTATTGTCATGCTTAGCAGTCTTACTAGAAGAGAAGTATAACACATATTTTTAACTCATAACACATATTTTTAAAAGAACAAGGTGCTTCTCTTTTGAACAGTTTACTGTGCCAACACAGTTTATCCCTGAACTCCTCATTTCTGTTACTAACTTCAGTGGAGTTAAAAAAAAAATGTCCATTGTCAGTACTACTTGCATGCACTACTTGAGTTAACCATAAATTATTTTTCTCTTTGCGTATAAAGTTGGCTTAGCTACTTCTCTTAAGACATTCTGCTGAGGAAGTCTCCCTGTAACACTTGTTCAAATATTTCCTATTTTCCAAAACTGAACCATCATTCACTGTTTCTCCCATTGTTTTGAATTTCTTTACTTTGGAGCTATCTTCCTTGTTCTCGAGTTCTGTTTTGTTGCCTTTCACTACTTTCTAGAGCTGGATTTCTGCCATTGATTTCACTTCTCGAAACTATATTAAAAGAAGGCAATGCAATATTTTTTGGTATAAATTTTTACCTTTCTTTTCTGCTTCATGAACAGATTCTCCATCAGATGAATCGGATTCACTTGTTTTAGTAGGAACAATTCAGTTCTCGTTGAATAAATTGGATATAGTTTCAGTAAAAAATTCTTAATCAGGTTCAGCTTCTGAAGCAGAATTATCATTAGAAAGGCTTTCGAAAACTTTCCGAATCTCTTCCTTCATTAAATATTTCCTACCAGCACTTCTACACAACATGATAAACAGGTCAGAACATACTGAAAAAGAACCTTTTTAACACAAGGGAAATAAACAGGTAGACATGTGGCATGCAAAAATTCCAAACAGATGTTTTTATTCCTCTCTTTCACCCCTCCCATTTACTTCTGTGAAATATGCAATCTTCCTCTGTTTATCAGCAAACCGGAAGTAGCTAATAAAGTCTTAAAAATGTATAATTTTCTGCACACAGTCAAAATGATTGATAGTCGTAATTCTAAGTATAAACAATAATATTATCAAAAATAATTATTTAAAAATGGACAAAAATATCATGTAATATTTATAAACTTTTACAAAAAGTCAAAAAATATCAGTTATAAATAAAGAATAAAAAAAGTTCTGTCCAATTAAAATGTAGATATGGTTAAAATGACTGCTGCCATAATTCTAATGTTAAATACTTCTTTTTATATGTTATTTATTAAACAAAAGTAGAATACAAATGTTTTTTTTTGGGAGGGGGTTGGTGATAGTAGACCCAGGTTTCATCTCATATAAAGATTCTCTCAAGGAAGCCATCACCTTCTGCTTCAAAACGGCTGTAAAAGTTCTTCGCAGATGTCAAAGCGATCTGGAGTGAGAGCTTGCAGACACTTTGTGAAACTTAATCTTGTCATGAATAATATGATGTGGTGAGCCATGACTAATGTTCAGAATTACAGATGTTTCATCCACAGTTACATGGCAACTGTCCATCATAATGGCTTTAGTTGCTGTTGTTCAGACTGAAGTCACAATGTGGTGTGCCTGCCCTTTGCAAGGCACATCTGCCACAGAAATCACACTGTTTCTGAACTTACTACTCCACTTGTATGATTACTGCAATGATAAACATGCCCCACCACACTTCTCTTAAGAATTCACTGATGGATTTAAATAGGTTTCATACTTCCAATACTCAGAAAAGGTATGACAGAACACTGTTCTTCACTGGTGCACATTACAGGCAGGCCAGCTATTTTAAACTGTTATTTTGGCCACTTTTCACTTGTCTGCAGTATTCTGCCACCTGCTGGGCATTCTTTAAAGCACTGGTAACTGTACTGCCAAATGGCAAAACCGAATTTAACTACAAATGATATCAAAAAGAAAAATTAATGCTGAAGTTATTTAATTATGCAATTATATTTACATTAATTACAAATACTTTAGAAAATATTTATAATTAATATTATATTTATTATGTAATTGACCAGAAAATATTATACAACAGTTTATTTGACTTCTATAATATCACATAATAATTATATTTGCACTGCATAATTATATGATCCTATACTGTAGAAAAATATTACACTGTATATTTTCATATTAACAAATTAGTTTTTTTAACAAAACAAATTAATGTAAATGTATAACAACATGCACAATGAAAATGAAACATAAAAGCTTGGTAGAATTCCTTTACAACGTTCAATTAAACCAACAATTATAGTCACAAAACTGCGATTTGATGATTGAAATGTGATAATATGTGAATACCAAAATATTTTATTTGTTTCCTGTTGTTATTCTGTCAAAGCACTTAAACAGAAAATTATGTTAAGCATCAAGTAAGCAATTTTTAATACAGTTCTAAAATATTTTAATACAGGATGAATATTTAATACATGGGTAAGAAAATTTAACTCAAAATGATTTAAATTGCATTTCTTTGCAAGTAAAAACAAAATACTAACCTCTTTCTGCTTGCAACCTTTCACACCACATTTATTTGTATATATCTAGAAACAAATAGATAAAATTTGAGATAACTCTGACTTTAACACACACACACACATATATTAAAAAAACAAGATATGAAGTTAATTTCAGAAATTAAAAAATGAAGAGGCCGCTTCCCTCATTGCAAGTAATAAAAATTCTGAATTAATACCTATTTCAGTAGGTTATGTATAAAAATACAGGATGCATCACAGATACCCATTTAAATATTTTAATAAATGAAGGTTAAAACTGCTTATTATTATACATTTACTATGAAAAATATTCTCACTTCTTACTTTACTTATGAAAAACATTCTCAGCAGATGAAAGACAAATACAATTACAGTGGAAGATGTCATTACAAATTTTGGCAATGATGTTCTGGCAGTAAAGGAGAAAACTCTAAAGTCATTCAGAAGAAAGTGATAATGCTCTAAAACTGTGTAATTCCAATAGAAAATAGAAAGACATGCATCCTCTTGAATTTGATAACAAAAATTAATAAAAGTTTCTTTGAGTTTAATACATTTAATTTAACAGTAGAACCATTACATGGAAAAAAAAAAAAAAAAAAAAAAAAAAAACATCATTCAGTTTCATAAAGAAAATATGTTGAAACATAAAATGTCACTTAATATTCATTCAAAATAAGACAAACTGCACTTGAAAAGTTTTTTTTAATTCTTGCAAAAGTAAACACATGGTTATTATTAGCACAGATAAAACATTTAAAAAACCTTACAAATGCTTACAGAGAACCAAATTATTTTGCTTTAAAAGACATTATAGTATTCCCTTATCATTATGACCCTCATTTTGTAAACAATTACAAGATTATCAACATATTGCCAATGCTAAACATCATCAAATGGCTGGCAATCCTAGTCGTAATTATTTATAATTTGCTCATGATGAGGAGAACTTAATGTGAAGAAAAAGAACTCCAAGTAAACTCCCACTATTGTATCTTCATTTTCATTCAAATGTAAACAATTCATGGATCATTCATAGTTCTTTCATCACAAGAGTATTCGATGCTTTAATATATTTTTGTTTATTAAAAAAAATGCTCAATTAAATTAAGGTGTTGAATTCATTGAGCAGCAGCAAGCAAGGTGCGATATCTTTCTTCCAAAGAAGGCACATTGGCACTTGCATATTATCCTCACAACCGTGAATGTTGACAGAGATCCTGTCAAAACTGAGCCAGCTGCTCTTGTGGAACCCTGAGGGAACTGACACCTCCTTATTTAAAAACAATTAATATTGGACCTGCTTCTTTTTTCACTTCTTTAAAAGGTTTTTGTTGATTTTTACTGTTTTGTTAAGGCCTTTGATTTTATTGAAAACTCCGTTTAGAACTCTATGAGCACCAACTTCCTGTAAGTAATTGTTGCAATCTGTCATATTTTGTTGGCCATATTCAGCTCATCATATTGTGTCTATTAATACATACTTTTCTGATAGCAGGATTCCATAACTTTGAAAATAATCTACTGCTTGTTGCTCTATAAAAGGCAGGTCCCAAATTTTAGCCATTTCATTTTTCTTAAAATCCAAGAAAAATTACAGCAATGAAGTTCAAGAAGCCGCCCAGTCTGTATATTGGTTAGAGAAGCCTGAGTGCGATACCAAAGGGCTTGGGTTCGAATCCTGGGGAAGGCATGGCTGAACTGTCCGTTCCTTCATAGGCGATGGTGGCCAACCTATTAGGTGCCTCCGTAATAAAGAGACCACCACATCTGGCCTTGTATAATTTAATAGACTGTGTTACACTGTAACTGTTCACAATTTGCCATTGAAAAAAAAAAAGTTCATGAAACATGCATACTTGCTAACGTATGACACTAAATCAAAAAATCAGAAAATTAAAAATCAGAAATTTTTTTTAAGAAATCAGAAGATTTTTCTCAACAAAAAGATTTTAATTGATAAAAGCATGTTTTTTAATAATGAATTAACATTAAATCTTAACTAATTGTTCAGATATAACTGCGTGGTTGAAAGATGAGTGCTCACCTCTCAGCTCAGAGTTTTTGTAAAAAGAGCGAGAGTATCGTGAACAATTAGCAAGAATGAACACAAAACGAAATCGAGGATCCTCCAGCATGATTCTTTGTGCTAAATATGAGATAAAATGTACATTAGTTAAAGACATGAATTTAAATATAGAGCAAGCATACAATCCATTGGAGTATTTATTAATTTATGTGTATAATTGAGCTATCATCATAAGATCATTGGTCCTAAATACTGGAGGACCAGGACGGAATTTCTGAAGTGAAACTTTTGTTAATTCTAAATCCCACCCCTCAAGCATGCTTAGAACAATTTAGAAAAACAACACACCTGCAAAATGAAACTTGCACACAATTTGCTTCATGTTTAATCACTAGTTGGAACTCTTTAAATATAAGAAAAGTGGCAGATTTTGAAACATTAAAAGATCTTATTCTATTGGGTAAATTATTTTCTACTCTTGTAAAAGAAGTAGTGTTGCACATTAGTATTCGACAAACAGAGAAATGGCAAACCTTGCAACATGACTTAAGATTGGTTATTTAAGTGAACTTATGTTAAAGTTAATAAAAGTCACAAGTTCACTGCTATTTTAAACATCATTTGAAACTTTCGGCTGCTGGAATGACCTGCACTAATTTTAATAATTTTTTTTTATTATATAACGTCAGAGCTTAAGTTTGTTAGAGTTTTGATGCTATATTTATAAATTGCTGTAATGCAAATGTTATATTTGTAGCTTGTACTTGTTAATTATCTAATCAAATAAAGGGCAATAAGTGAATTCCAAACTAAATAAACTGCCTTCTATTTCTTCAGACTTTCACAAAATTATTGACACAAGTTAGTCGGGAAGTCTGCCAACTTTAACAGTCAACAGAAAAATTTGTTGGTATACCTAAATTTTAAAACAAATTATTGGCTTCTTTTTTATTGTTAAGTAAAGAGAGATTTTTAATGAATTAAACAGTGCCCAACTAGTATTTATACAGGTTATTTTTTATGAGGACTAACAGAAACAGTAATTGTATAATTATTATCGTCAATTTACAGACAGCTTATTTATGTCAAAATATAAGTACTTATTTGTTATCCAGCAGACATATGTAGCAATTGCCAATGTGGGCGATAATTCACCAAAAATGTTAATCCTTTACATTGTGGCTAACTGCCTGTTACAACCACATTTTTAATTATTAATGCATTCTTTGAAAAGTACTTTTTTTGTTAACAAGCTGCCACTTGTCAGATATGGTAGTACCCTGTTTATATCGCATCATGAATAGCCATGCAATGTTTAATACACACAATGGCAAAGCTGAGTGTGATAATGATTTTGCTGCATCCATGGGGTAGATCCCTGTGTACATGAAGAGAACTATTATTCTTATGTACACATTTGATTTTGCTTTAAAAATTTCCACATATTTGGCATCATGCATATTAAACATTACATATACAGTCAAAAGTCAGACTCGTCGGGACTTTGGCGATTCCGGATTATAGATCCTCAGTTTAAATCTGGTGAGATGGCATGCAGAAATTATAAAATTAAAAATATCAAACTGTAATTTATGAAATAAAGAACAATTATGATCTAAAGGGTATCAAAATTTACAAAAAAAAAAAAAAAAAAAAAAAAAAGGCTTAATATTTATTTGTTTACTTTATTAAAAATTTTTTTCAATGTAAGTTGTTTAAGTTACTTCGTTTTATGTGCTAATATTCACTCTTTAATTCTATATAAACAGATATAATTTCTAGTTCAGTTACAAAGTTCCGCTGTTCAAGTCCTGTAATTGCTGTGCCAAGAATACCGACTAACTTGTCAATCAAAATTTTTTCGTTTTCACTAACCTCTCTGTCACTTTCTTCATGCCTTTATCCATTTTTTGCAGCAATTCCACTTTTTGTTTGATGGACATCGAAACATGCTTTCGCTTTGTAGATCCTTTGGGAGCTCCAGAACCGGAAATTCTATTTGACATAATCGAAAGTTCAAGCTTACTTTTATAAAATTGCTCTAACAGTCTGCAAAAAATCTCCAATTTGAAGATTAAGGAACAACGCAATCTGCAACATTAACCGAAATAGATAATTAGATAATTTTAGCTTATATTGTCCGTTATACATTAAGCGTGCATTCGTAAACGTATTATGCGCATGCACAGAAAGTTTGTAGCTTTGAGGTCCAGATTATAGATCATTCCGGATTATGGGTGCCTGAATTAATGACTTTTGACTGTATTATACAGTACACTACAGTATATGATTAAAAGTCTAATTTATTTAATGAGGCTTAATTTGTCATCAGCGTTGTCAACATTTAGCCAATGATTATGCTTGGAGCTAAGTAATGTTCCATTAATAATTAAGGGTACTTTTCCTTTTCGCTGGCGCAAATCTCACCAAGCAGATTTTGTTGGCGACAACATACAGTATACACATAAAAAATGTTAAACGTTAGTTCTAAGAATTTTTTATTATGGTTGAGAAATTTTTATTTTGAAGGCATTACCATTTTAATATGGTTTTAAAATTTTATAAAATGTGAATAAATAAAGACAATAGATTTGTAAAAAGACATTAATTTAAGAATTTACTATGCTTTCATGGTTCAACATCCCGATTTGACAATTCATATTACGTGATCCCAAGTGATCTCATCTCACGTAAACTACGCTACAAAAATATAATTCTCTCAATTAAGTTACATTAATTTCAAGTTAAATTTTAATTTTGAATACAAGTTTAAATGCAAGAATTATTTCAATTCGTACGAATAGCTTACTCAGAAATTATGTAAAACCATAGTGCTTTACTTTGCTAGTGCATTCTCATTAGAATTGATAAATTCAACCATCGACTTTGCCTTTTCTATGTTTTCGTTTTCGGGCGAGTGGCGCGATTGCATTCTAATTGACTTAATTACCGCGAATTGTCTTAGGGCATAAAATTGAACTTTACCGCGAATCGTCTTAGGGCATAAAATTGAACTATCTTGTAAAAATTCTATGTAATTATATGCCAGTATTGAAAAAAAAAATGCCAGCATTGAAAGAAAAATCAATCTGATAAGAAATGGTTGTGACTTGTTTTGAAAATGAGGCGTAAAAGGTTACCAGCGAAGATATTCTATTTGGCATCAGTTGTACTATTATTGGCGACTTTATCATTTACGCCAGCAAAACTGAAAAGTACCTAATTAAGTAACATACCCTTTGAAGTACATAATTTTTTGCTTTGTTTGAAGGCAAGAGCATTTTCAAAGCTATATTGTAAATGATATCTAGACAGAATCAGCCAGAAATTTAAGTAAAAAGTAACCAAAGTGCCTACTTTTCATAAAAACTGCATAACTCAGTGTTCTCATACTTGAAGCCCTGGGGGCCACATGTGGCACGCAAAGCAGTTTTATGCAGCCTAACAGGACATTTTAATAATATATTTGTTGCAAATATGGTGCTTATAGTTTAAGAGATCTAAAGATATGGACTGAGATTATGTGTGATACTGTTACTAAAGAAAAAAAGAACATATATGGCTGGGACTTCATCACCATACACTTGTGCATCAGGCCAGGCAACTAGGATAATGTGTATTTCCCATGCTGGTACAGTCAGTAAATTTAATTTGATAGCTGGTGGCACTAAAAAGTACTTTGAAATTTGCAGTTAAGGTTAAGTTATTTAGCAGCTAAGTCAACATACTTGAATTACCTGATATATACATCTGACTGAAACATAATACTTAGCTGTCGGTACATTTGAATTGCAAGGTATAACAAATAGAAATTTCTTGTAGTTAACCAGCCAGACTTCAGATAGAAAATAAGTATACATCTGAATTTTTTTCTCTGTGTTGTTACTACTACTGTTTACATAGATTTCAAAAAATATTAAGTTTTCTATATTTCCTTATTAAATATGTTTTTAAATTTGATTAAAAAACAGTTCTGGTCCATTAGCTGCTTTCAGAGCACATATTCAGCCCACAAGCATTTTGAGTTTGATATTACTGATATTATGTGACAGCTACATCTCTGTCTTCTGGATAACAAACAAGTGCCAATTAAGATATATGTAAATTATTAACCTTTCTCTTTGCAACAGCTGGATCAGCTTGGCAGTCTCGATCAATGTGTTCACTGACAGCAATATCAGGCTGCTCTCCCCTTTTAGATGGCACAGGTTTGTTGCATAAAGGGCACACTGGTACTTGAACATCTTTCTGGTGTGCATTATTGCATGAATGTAAGATGTAGCTAAAATGATCTTTGCTAAATTAAACAAAGAATAAAATTATTAGATAAATAAAGAGAATTATATATACTTATTTCAAGGTAACTTGGAGGAAAATATATACCTACCAAAATATATTTGAACAAGCATCACACTTCATTGGCAAAAAGTCTGTAAAAAATTCACTACAGTAAAAAAAAATTATAAAAGAAACCCTGCAAATTAAAATTAATAGCATTAAGCTGATTTAACCATTAATTAAAAAGGTAATGTAACAGACGACTATACTACAAATGTATGAAAAAGTATTTCTTTAAAATACATTTTGTTTAACATATATTATTTGCAGGTATCTTCACACATAACAAACAGCTATGAAAATAAAAAGCAATACATACTAATTCACGTGTATAATAAAATGCCTTTAAAACTCAGTCAATAAAATAATTTTTAAAATAAAGCACATAAAATGAATATTGCAAGGCTTTTTAAATTGTAATATTTGATTTCAAGTTACAGCATCTGTAACAAGCTTACTTCAAAAAGCTTATATTAAAACAAAATATAACCCATGTCATGTGACTCTAACATAATTCTGGTGATGAAAATAGAACTAAAACTCGAGTAGCCAATAGTAATTTTAAAGCAATATTAACTACCCAATCAAAATGCATTGAGAACCAAAACTAACTCAGTCTGAATTAAGATTTCACCCTGAACATAATGCTCTTGCTTCCTATGTTTGGCTTAGCTGGACTGCTGCCTGTCTGCTACTTCTTTCTTACTGTAAATTTACCTAAAATGTATTGGAATAGGCACATTTAATGTGCCAACTTGATTGTGACAGCAACATGTTTGCTGAAATAAAAAATGAAAATTTAATCTGCCTTCGCTTCCAACTTCTATTCATTATGGATCAACACTTCTACGCCATCAAAATTGCTGCTAATCCTCACTCTAACTTTGTTATTTTATCTCATATAAAGAAATTTTGGTACTTCCTTGTTATAGCAGCCATCAAAACTAAATCACTGTTCAACTGAGGTCTCTCTCCAGCTCGTGAAGCATGAAGTTATAAAATAAAGGATACAATATACAGTAATGCGCATACACAATAACGATGTTGTTTTATATAACAAAAATCTACAACTCACATGATGTTTCTTAAGCATATTTTCTAAATCACTATGAGAAAGCCATATGCAGTGAAAAGTCATTAATCTGGACACCCATAATCTGGAATGATCTATAATCCGGACCGCAAAGCTACAAACTTTCTGCTCATGCGTCAACGCATAACGCATTCATGCATGCTCATATGCATGTGCGCATACACATAATACGTTTACGCATGTACGTTTAATGTATAACGGATGGTATAAGCTAAGCTAAAATTATCTGTTTCAGTTAATGTTGCAGATTGCGTTGTTCCTTAATCTTCGAATTGGATCCGGCTTATTATTTTTTGCAGACTGTTAAAACAATTTTATAAAAGTAAGCTTGAACTTTCGATTATGTCAAATAGAATTTCCGATGCTGGAGCTCCCAAAGGATCTAAAAAGCGAAAGTATGCTTTGATGTCCATCAAACAAAAAGTGGAATTGCTGCAAAAAATGGATAAAGGCATATCCTTTGTTTCTCTAACCATTCCAAAATCTGTTTATCAATTTCACGCTGCTCTGTGCAGGGGGGGGGGGATATCGTGGCACACAATGAACTGGAAGTTGATCTGTCAGCACTATCCTTATCTTCAGGGCAGATGTTTTTATTTTATTCAGCTTATAATCCCTTACTAAAAATCATCATATCTCGATGTATTCCGGCTTTGATATGATTTAAATCAAATTCCTCGTCATTATAAATATCACGAGTACACATCAAATAATTTTCTGGTTGAAATTTTCTAATTTCGACTATGTGTAATGTATGCTTTACGCATGCGCGTGTTGAAAGAAATGTTTAATAAAGTAAAGAAAGAAATATTAAGCTTTTTTTTGTAAATTTTGATACCTTTAGATCATAATTGCTCTTTATTTCATAAATTACGCTTTCATATTTTTAATTTTATAATTTCTGCCAGATTTAATTTCTTACCAGATTTAAATTGATGATCTTTAATTCGGAAAAACCCCTAATCCAGAATCGCCGAAATCCCGACAAGTCCTGATTAAGACTTTGTACAGTATAATGTTTCTTGTATCATATGAAATTGGTTTACTAATTCAAATCTGAATAACTGCTACAGCTTGCTTTCTTTTGATATATGATAATGTTTCCTAACTTACAATAAATATCAACAGTTTGACAATTTTTAAAAATCACCAATTTGCACCTGATAAGCACCTTTTACTAGAAAAGAAGTTCTCAACCAGGGTAGATTTCGGCCTTAGGAGGGAAGTTCATAGTCTGAGAGGGGGAATGCAGTCAGTCTTTTATTTACCTGTTAAGTATTTAGTTTACAAAAAACTACTTTCAATTAAGTTTTAGTATTTGCCAATGTTTCTGTGCTTTTTTCTCAGTTAATTTATAAATTCCGTTAAAAAATAATTTAAATTGAAATAAATGTAAAAGGGGCACAATGCAAAGACGGAGACAGAATGATCATCTAGCAATGGTGAAAAGGCTGTATGGGACAAAAAAGGTAAGAACTGCTGATTTAAAGTTTCTTTTTTATGTAGTTTGACAGAATTCAAAATTACACTTAATTAGTTTCTCAAAGAAAAAAAATCAGCATTTCATGAAACTTGGGGCATATAATTTCAGCACTAAAGACTATTACAATAAGTAGTACTATTACATTAGAAATTTAAATATTTTCTGATTATGTACATCCTCACTATGAAGTCACAGACTCGATGACAATCTGAAAAGAATTTGCAAACTTGTTCTCAACTTTAATGAGAAATGTTTGTTTCGGCACAGTTGTGCTTTGAAGTGAATCAACAATGTAGCCATTGCCATCTATTTAAACAATGTGTCAAGTGCCATTTACTTGTTTTCTTATTTTCCCATAAGCATACTTCTTGGGTTTTTGTACTGTTTTCCCCATATACACAGTAATCTGTTTCTGCTAAAAAAAATATCAAGAGGAAGAGAAAGAAGCTCATGACGTCTTTAAATGAGCCATATTATGCTCTATGCATGCAGAAAGGTAAATAAAGTTATACTTCAATGAAGAATGCATTTATTGGCAGTACAACATATGTACAAGTTGAAAAAATATTACAATGCTCCTAAAAAATTAGTTCAAAGGAAATCGCACAGTATATGCAACAGTTTTAAGATTCATTTACAGCCGGTGTGAAAAACTAACATCAGTCAGGTTCTGCTAAAAGCAATTCAGAACGGTGAACAAAACATATGTTGACTGAAATAATTATCTGCAGGCGATATGTACTTTTGAAATGGTGGAAGAGAAGAACAAAAAAATTGTATCAATTGCATTGCGGAAATCAATGGAAGCATGTTTATAAAATGTAGAAACAATGCTATGGAATGTATCTAATGAGTGTGTGAAACAGTGGGAAAAAATATCAAACACCAAAACTACCTAACAGAGTTTATGAGTAAGAAGGGGGAAAAACTTCAAATGATATGTTTGAGGCTATCCTAAAGGCAATATCTGCCTGAAACAAAACTTAATTCATATTCGCCAATGACATGTAGTTAATATGAAGGCACCAAAAGAAATGACTATGCAAAGTAGGATAATTTGACATCTGATTTTAATGTTATGACTTTCCTAGATTGACTTTCATGACTATAAATTTCAAATAATGGAAGTTCGTTTTGTTTCTAGTACAAACTGCAGAAAAATATTAAGACACATTTTTTTACATAATAGGACGAACTTCATATTTTAAAATTCTGCAATCTAGCATTCCTAATGCAATTAACCCTATAATAATTATCAGAATATCTCAGATCTTAAAGTTACAATTTGTAAAACTTTTATATTCTCTCCCTCTTAATGAATTTTCCTTGAATATACTCACAGCTTACTCTGTAAATAAAGAAGTTCTACAACACTAACAGACTGCACGAGTATTAGGAGTAAAAATAAAATTCTGTACCCATACGCAATTTAATTAACTATTATTAAAAAACTATTAGCAAGTATTCTTAATTAACTGATAAAAAAAAAGGAGTATTACATTCTTTAGAGAATATTTAAAGGTAAGTGACTGAAATGAAAATTTTCTTTACAACTCATTAAAATTTACTTCGCTATGATACTATAGAACATGCCATTTAATTCAAAATTGTATCTCATATTTTTTTTAACTACATGAGATGTATTAATATTACTCAAAAATTTGTTAAAATGTTGTTTGTTATATTTACCCAATTTATTGCAGGTCTTTACAAAACAATGACTGCCCAAATCTGGGAATTCCATTTTAAAATAATTTGGATTAACACTTCAAAGCACGTCTGAATTCTAGAGAGAACTAAGGTGAATAATAAATACTCGACTAAGTCTTCAGATAATTATGCCACCACATAATGCAATGCAACATGACCACGCAATTCAGCACACTACAAAATTGTTACTTAGCATGTCATAATAAGCAATGACATTGCATGAACCAAAGAATCTCTAATAAGAATCTCCTTAGAGATTCTTTGGCATGAACATAAACAGTAAGGACTTTGAGTTAAGTTGCACTTATTCTGCTCCCCCTTTGCAAAAACAAAAATTTAAAATAAAGAAAAAGGAAATATCACAGAAAAAAAAAATTGAGGTCTATATTTGAATATTTAGTACAATGTCTATGCAAATAAATTTTTTAAAAAAATGCATGTGTCCGAAAGCAAAATGAGAGCCACTGTATATAGTTGATAAAAATAAGTTTATATAGCGTTACCAACGGCTTTTTTTTTAATCAGTTACCCTAAAAGAAATCACCTATCAGACCTGTATAAGAGATCACCTGACCTGTACTTCATGCACGGCCGACGCCAGACCGCGTGCAATATGAAAAATGTAAATATCCTTAAAAAGGCCAAATTTATTTGTGGCCGCAAAATGATTAAGAAATAAAAATGAATATTTAATCTGCCTCGGCTGCCAAATTTGCTTTCATTATGGATATATGGTATCAACATTCCTATATCATTACATCTAAGTCTGCTTCATTACACACACACACCCATATATGAATTTATTGAAGCTGCGATGAAAACAAAATGTAATGATTTTATTGAAATCATGTAAAATAATTTCACGTGCCCAGTACAGTTAGTAATTAATAATAATCGAAATGAATCGCTTAGTTCGTTAATTAATAGCAGAATTAATCTGAAAGAAAATATCATATGCTTCGCTGAACGACAAATCACAGATTCGTGGAAGTTACAGATGCTTTTATTCAAGCAACGCAACTCATTCATCCTAAACCACTACGTTTATTAAATATAAATGATAAATAGATATATTGCGTTTTCCTAAGTGGCAACTCACTTCTTTTACTTCATTTTATTACAGGCTTCTGGGCGAGTGACCTATCATATGTAGAAAGACATGCAGTAATTAACCAGTTCGTTTTCCCTGGCTAACATTTCAAAGATGGTGAGCTTGGTAGAAGGCCGAAGCCTAACTCCGTAAAGTGAATAATCGTTGATAAATCAAGCATTTGAGTAGTCACGTGTGAAGTGAAACCAAGATAACCTTATCTAACGTAATTTTTTTACGATCTATCTAGCGTATTGTTTTTACGATAAATCGTGCATGATAGGCTACTGGCAGACTTGGAATTTGATAAAGTGAAATTCAAGAATTTGACGCTCGGTTAAAGGTAAGTAGAGTGATAAAAATAATGCAGGCAGTTAGTGGGTAGGCGACTCTACAGAATACCATACAGTTCTGAATGGGATAGAGGAAAAGTGTAGTGGAGTTTATGGAAGAAAAAAGTTAAGAAAGCGCTAAATCAAAACGTGGAAAGGGAGTAATTAAAAGATAAGCATCAAACCTTCAAAGTTCAGTCAGAATATTCACAAATTTCATTCATAATTTCAGTCAAGATGTACAATTTATATACCAGGTACTCAGAACACCTGAGTTTAGGGATTATTTTTTTTTTTTTTTTTTTTTCATATGGTTAGGATCATTGAAATTTGCTTGTTTATTCCTATGCTGTCTCAGATTTTTTTATGCAACTAAATAGTTCTGTATAGTCTGATATGCTTGTTTTATTGTTGTTACATGTTTTGGGGTTTCTATCGTTCTAATCAGGGCTAAAGGGCTAGTTCATCAGCTTCTCGCGGCTGAAACTGAAAGAAGAGACTGATGACGTAGTTGGGTTCGCTTGGTCAGTTCTGCTGTTCAGTTTCTTAAGCATTTGCTTGAGAATCAAAACGCTTTGAAAAATAGTTTAATAACCAGTATGAGCCGAGATTTTAGCTCATGAAATTGCAATATACATGCATATATATATATGAACTAGTAATGTAGTTACGTCATACCTAAATGAAACTCTAATATGCGTAAAACGTAAGTAAAACATGCATAAACATAACTATTTTTTAAATAACATATGCGTAACATAACTAATTTTTTAGGTTCGAGTGTACCCTAAATGTAGTAATTCTTTTTCATAATCATCTTTTTAAATGTATGTAAATAGTAACCCATCGACGATAACATAGGTAAATTTTCTACATTTACGAAGAATTCTTTTTGCATTAAAATATCAGTTAGTCGCAAAGTAATTTGCATTATAGAAATATTAAATAAAAATATGCAAATACATTTTGAGAATACATGCTAAAGACATACACACCTATCTAATTCAAAATTAGTTAATGCTAATAATAGATTTTATAACACATTAAAACGAAAACAAATTTCACTTCTTCCATTTTTTTTGCTTTTCAATTAGCGTTGATAATGAGTAGTAAATTTTGTAAGCTTTTGCAATGTCTATTATGAAAGCATTATTATGGAATATCAGTATCAGTATTATTATTTAACTTCAATTACTCAAAAAAAATAATGAAAATATTTAAAAATAGTATTTATATATTTTGGATAATAGCATGTATTCTTACATTTTAAAAGTATATGCTCTGATACTAATTTATGTTTATTCAGAATTTCATGATTTATTTTATATAGTAAAATTTAGCAGTCTAAATTAGTATATAATAAATACAATATTTTTATAGTAGTCCAAATAATTAACTGAAACGTGCATAAATTAGGTCACAAATTAAGTGTGAATAATAAAGTAATGATTCAAATTATTATTTTTGGTAGGAATAATATGAATCAACTTACATGATTTTTTTCCCCTATATAGTTTGGTTCGATAATCCTCTATTACTCTTTATCCATTTATTTGCTTTCTGGTCAGCATTTCTTGCCGATACAAGGGTTGCATTCCTATTCAAGTGCCGAACCCTTATAAATGTTCGTAAACGGCAAAATAAACGAATTGCACTCTTATTCACGGAGGGAAAACGTTTCTTAAGTTCAGAAATGAGATTCTAAATTACACCTCTGCCTTTTCGAAAAGAACTGCCATGAAACGAACGGAAAGCATTTTCCATTTTCATCATCGTTTTCATCCAAACTGGTGATGGTACAGTTAATCCTCCTTTAGATAATAAAAATATCCAATTTGAGTCGTTAGGAATATCTATGAATTTTTTCGATATTTCACCCAAAGTAGGATCTTTATCTTTCACACGATATGCAATATAACCTGCCACATAAGCGAGCGATTCTTGTTCATATGCAGATATATCTTTCGTTGAATCATAAATTTCGGTTTCCCAAGGAAGTGACGTACATTCATCATAGATGTCTTCGTAATTAATTAAATCATCTTCGTATAAGGAAGATTCAAACATTGTGCTTTTTCATTTGAAAAAGGCTGTTCCAACAGTCTTTTGTCAAATATGCTTCAACTTTCTTCACATCTTCACAGTCATTAGCATTTGTCTTTAACGACAATTTAGGCAATTTGTTTGCCAATAGCAACCTTTTCAGACGAATTAATTACGTCTGATGGAGACGGATGGTCATTAAAACGCCCTAGACCCCGAATTTGGCTGAACAAGCTTTCTAATACATCTTGAGTCAGTCTTGATGTTAAATATATTTCACATTTATAGATTTTACGTCGTCAAATAAAACCGAAAAGCGAATTTATCGATATGATAATACCTTTCTGAAAAGGTAGCATTGTCTTCTTTCCGCATATTCTGAGATCAAAATCATTTGCTTAATCTCATTTAATTTTTCTTTTGTACTTCATAATAGCTTTCTAGACAGAAAGCAGCTTTTAAAGGCTTATTGCTAGGAGGTAATGGTGCACTACTATTCATAATGTCAAAAAAAAATCATCAACCATTGAAAAAAAATTACTTGTTGCAATATTACCAGTCAAATGCATAATTGTTTTAGCCGTTGTGGAAAAAAATAATACTTTTGCTTGTACTTCTTTCTGTCTCTCGTTTCCTTTTACAGATCAAAATTGAGATTTCAGTTTATAGCACAGTTTAATTTCTCCTATATCTTTATTAAGTACTTCATATATAACGTCTTTGTTTATAATTGTACCATTTTCGAGAATAAAACCTTTATCAAGAAAATGGTTTCTCGAAAGCTTTATGCAATGCGGCATATCAGCGAAAACCCATATTTTGGTGCTGGAACTTGGGACTGTAAAGAAGATTATCTGTTGAAATATGTAATTCTTTCCAAAGGGTCTGACTACCTCCCATGTCAGATACAATTGCTTTGACTCGAAGCCCAGACGATTCAAATGCAAACAAAATGGAAGACAGAAGATTTTCCTTCATTTGATGATCAAAATCAAAATAAATGGGCTGTTTCCATCGCGAAATAAGTCCTCGAACCAATACAAATTGAGTCTTTTTAAAAGGACCTAATATCTGATTCAATTTTGAATCTTAACAGAGTCTTGAATCTATATGAATTTCATCGAAACTTAATACGTATAATCTTTCTTCGTCAGTTGCATTTTGGCAAGTTTTTTTAATCATAACAGTACATCATTTTAAAATTTCCAGGGAATGCAACTGAATCTTGAGCACCATCTTTTCAGTGTACTTGCACTTGTAAGTGGAATGCCCATTTTTTCTTTCCAGAAGTCGTATGACTTTACGGATAACGATCTGATTACTATGCTTTTGAAATGTCGTCTGGAGACCATTTAATTCGCTTTTTTTTTTCATTAATGCTTTATTTGAGTTTCGGTTAAATATTTTAAATACACGTTTTCATTTTTCTTAGTTTTTCATTTTCTTGATTCACCTTTTTATGTCTTTCCTCAGTTTCTGAACTTCTTCTAATATTAGTTTTCTATTCCTTTTAAATCTTTTTCTTTGCTGGGAGATAGTTTTTAAATGCTACTTTCTCTCAGTCTGTAAAACAGAAAACCTTATTCTCAAGAGCTGATAAGTTTTGTGATTAAATCAATCACATTTTTCTGGAGTTTGGAACAGTTACAACATTAACATTGATGAGTAATATTATTTTCAGTGAGCTCCTCATAGCTATTATTGTTAATCGTTTTGAAAGTTCCAGACATGCCTGTTTAGGACTTAAATTCTGAATCATTTCAAATGCACTTTGTAATTTTTTCTTTTTTTGTTGCCTCTGCTGCCTTGGTGTATTCTGATAAATAACTAAGTCAGGAACATAAAGCAGTTGGAATAGCAGTTGACTTCAGTACCTTTTTTGTCGGTAATCCTAGCAACATATTTTTCATATCATCCTCATAATCAGATTCATTGAAGTAAATGCAAATGCTGCATATTCGAGCACTCTTTGTGTTGACAATATCCGCTCTTCGATACCTATGCAACCATTCTTTCGTTAACTGAATATTTTTGTACAGAAATCTATGAAATACCACGCTAGTTTCTTTCATATTATGATACGTATTACTACAGGTAGCAATGGCACACAATACCATTTTTTCAATGATTTCTCATTACAAAAACTTTCAAAATACAAAATCCCTTTAAAAGTATCATCAGTTAAACTTTCAAGTAAAAAAAAAAAAAAAACTCTTTCTCTGAAATAAAGGGCTAAGAAAGAGAATCCAAGAACTAAAGATTCAATCTTTCGCATTGATGCTCTGGTCAGTCGACGAAAGGACGAACCCAGTGACGTCACATAACATCCGGTATCCTCCCCAAGAGGGGTTCGTGTCGGCATCGTTCTTCTCAAAGGGATGACCCAGCCCTTCTCTTTCTTTAGCCCTGGTTCTAATACCGAATTTAATAGAACTGTTATGAGCTTCGTGCATTTTGCTTTTCATCTGGAACATTCTTTGATTTAGGGTTGGTAGTCTCGCATTTGACGACCTGGAAGTAACTAAAATCTAACTTGGGTAGTTTATTAGTGTTTGATTTATTTTGGGGAAATATAGAGCGTTCACGGTAGGATGCAGAGTGACAAGATTAAATGCACTTTTTTTACATAACTGAATTTTCTGATTAAATCTGAAACATAAATATCTTATGCTTTTTAGAGTAGCAACCTAAAGCTTTTACCCTGACCTTTTAATGAACAGTTCATTAATTCACGCAAAAGCAATCAATCAATCCATCTGTCGTGTGTGTATGTATATATAATACATATCTATGTGTGTGTGTGTGCAGTGGATTTCGAAATCTTATGTAAATAGTGATCTGCGTCTTGCTTGAAGGTTAAATGTGCCCAATTGATCAAGACTGGAACAAAACTGTAGATTTGTAGGAATTACATAAACGCACAGACACTCTTCTTTATTTATGTACTAGATTGATAGTAGTATGTACTAATATAAATGTATTAGTATATAAAGTTCATAATAGGGGTTAATTATGCACACGACAGTTCTATTTTAAAGAAAAAAATCTTTATTTACATTCAGACTATCTTATACAACTTTTAAACATGTACATAAGTGATACTTCAGCAGAGAATGAGATGAATGTGCATACCATCAAAATGACACTAAAATATGTCTGCCATTTGTTTGCAACAGCAACTTCTACATGAATTATTTTTTGGCTATAATATAAAAGACAAAGATTATTTACATTTACAAAGGACACAGACGTACACACTTAAAATAAATAATCATTTACATCCTTTCGCACAAATCGCCAAATGGCGATTTCAACTTTTTATTCAGTTTAAAAAACTCAATTCACAATAGTTCAATAAGACTAATCAGTCTGATCACAGTAAGCACAGGATTGCCCGTGTTTTCGTATACGTTAAAATTGAGAAATTAGTTCACAGCAGCTTGTTTATTCTGTTATTTACAATTAAGAACACAATGACTGAAATGCAAAATGTCTTGGGAAGGTCGAGTATTATATAAGGATTCTCCAAATCGTTCTGTCTGTTATTGGTTTCTGCAGTCAAATAATTGGATTAATATTGGTATATTCAGCAGAAGCATTATAAAAACTTCTTTCCAAAACTGCATTCGAGAGTATGGTGTTATTGACTGTAAAAGAAAGATTATATAAGTTATCTTAAATATTTTTGGTACATTTTATCATTTATAATAACTTGAAAACACCGTAAAGAAAAACAAGTTTCAAAAACAAATGCACAGGCAGTTCTTATCATATTCTTACAACAAAGACCAAGAGATTATCAGGAATAATTCCATACGGCAATAATTCCATAGAGCAATTCCAAACTGCAAATAAGTCTAAAAAGGAACTGACTGCACACCTTTAATTCGTGATAAAGTTAGTTTCTAGCAATTATTCTCCAAAGTTACCAGCTTTATGGAAATTGAAATGCCATGTGGTTTAATGATTTGCGTCAAATTTTACATAATTTTTATTGCCTATGAAAACGAACATGAGTAACGCTTAGAAAATTATTTTACTCTGTGGTATAAATCTATTATTGACAGATTTGAAGATGCCGATTTAATTAGCTTTTTTCACGCTTTTCAAAAATTAACACCCTCAGCTACGAATTTTTGCATTAAGAATAATCGTTTTGTTTGTGTATACGTATAACCCCTGCTAAGATTTTTAACAGTAGAAAATTAATAAGTCTAAAAAAGAACTGACTGCACACTTTTAATTCGTGATAAAGTTAGTTTCTAGCAATTATTCTCCAAAGTTACCAGCATTATGGAAATTGAAATGCCATGTGGTGTTGCAGCTGAAAGTTGTAGTGAGAAATAAAGTTTATAATGAACTTTAAAAAATATGTACTTTTTCTGAATATGTTAGAGAAAAATTGAATAAATAATTAAAAAGACATAACAGGATGCCATTATTAATTCTCACATTTTGTCGCACCTGGAAAATTTTCGCAATTTGTTTATTTTTAGTTTAAGTCAAAAATAATTTATTTAGGGGTTAATTAAATACATATGAATATTTTGAAATAAATGTCAATGAAAATTTATTGTTTATAAATAATAAATTTTCGGATTGTCATTTACACAGCTATCACTACATTTGAATTACAGAGTATAGCCAACACACATTTATAGCAAATACCAACATTTAGATTTCGGACAGGAAATAAATATAAAATGGAATCCTTTACTTCGCGTTATTATTAAAAGTGCATCTGGATCGTGTATTTGGCTCGAATGCAATCTGAGTTTGAGACCACTGCCACAGAACACAAGATTTCAATTTATACGTCGATATTATTACACTGTATTCAAAGTGTCCCTTAGACGGAAATGCACTGATGTCAGCGTTTTTTACAATTCTCGAATCATGTTTCAGTTTTATTTTTGTGAAACTCCCTTGTAAATCTCAGTTTAATTTTCTTTTATTTCATCAATAAACTCAAAGACACGGTGGCTAAAAAACAGTTATAACACTGAAAATAAGAAACGTTTTACAATACAATATCAGATGAACACATAACTTACGGATCCATATTTATAATCAGAATTACCAAGCAGTGAGAGCACTGTGAGTAGGTATAACATACCGATGTTTTTGCGAACTTAGCTGATAGGGGGCAATAAGTAGCCCTTGAATATGAAACTGATTAATTTACTTTCTTTAGAATGTAACTACCTGTGTAGACGTGTCTTATCAATGGTATTGTTCCTGATTATAACGTGTCGATAAAGGATTACAGGCTAAGTAATTTTCAAATACTGTCTTTAGAAGCTCAGAAGATGAAGAACCATGTAAGAGCTGTTATTTATATCCGATTTGTTTTAGATGCAAAATCCATTAGTTTTTGCACAATTCAAATACAGTTCTACAAGTTGTTTCACAGAAACGTCACGTCACAAAATGCTCAAATTACATTCTTGTTTTAGAGTTCAGCAAGTTGGTATAAATTCATGACGCGCCATCCTAATAAAATCGACGAAAACGAAATATCTCCATTAATTTTACTTTTAGCCTACTCTTGAGGCAATCATTCTGGTCTTGCTTCAGACATCGAATATTCATCCGTAGTGTATGTCTATATTTTGTAATCAGTAACAATGCGCTTTGAAAAAAATTCGTGTTCTCCTGGATGACTTAAACATGCAGTTCGTTTTGGAAAAAAATCAATGGAGTTTTAGTTTTTGGAACACTCTAGAATCGACTCGTCGCAAGCTCAAATGATCATTCGAAGTTGCTTAAAAGGGTCCAAAAGTAATATCCCTAACTATTACACTATAATCGCTAGGTAACAAATCTCTGACTTCATCGGCATATTGCTCATTAGCTGAAGAGTTTTGTCTGCCAAAGAATGATTAATCTCCGACGCATTCCTTAAACATCTTACACCATTCTAAAGCTCTTCTTTTCGATAAAATGTTCTCAAGGATTTTCTGAAACCTTTAGTAGAAATCTTATAACGAAAACTGAAAATGATGAGAGTTTTTTGCTAGCTTACATCTGCCATTTTGGAAAACACTAAAAAATTCTTTATTGATTAAAACAAGAATTTACCTGCAAACGATGAGAGAAAATGAAATATGGATTGTTGCAGATGTCGATGAAAGTTGCAACAATTTCTGAAAAACTTTGCTTATTTTAAAAGAATCATTCTCAATTATATTTTGGATTACAGCGGTAATTCACAGAAGTACTGAAAAATATCAAATTCTCAAAAATAAATAAATCGTACAGGTAATTCCTCTACACTTAGAGAACTTTCTTGCTGGCTCTAAATTTTAACGGCAACACTTGATGAAAAATGAAAGCACAATTTTTTTAGCCAGTATTACTCAGGAAAGCTCCAGAAACACGTTTACTTTCGTCGAAAAACTATGTCAAACACGCCGAAACAATCAGCAACACAACCTTCAGGCTATCAGGCTATAACGGTGAAGTCAGCTTCACGACAAAGCTTCACGACTCTGCAAGCTGCAACTCACGATGCACTAGACGATACACTCAATAGCCTCAACGATGCACCAAATCGCGATGTAAGCAACTCGATGACCAGCTCGACACTAGACTGATGATCAACTGCTACTCCGCGCACTAGCAGGATTTATATAGCTTTTGGCTTTGCTTCGAAAACATTCTGGGCCAAACCGGTAAGGTTTCAGAATGTTCTCCATCCGTCTATGGCATACCGCCAATTTTGTTTCGCCAAATGGGCTATTTCGCGCCAAATATGGCAACTCTGCCTCCCCTTGCCATTTTCTGGCAACCCTAAACCCACCTGTCAGATTTTTGTATCAAGTTATTTGAAAATCAACGGCGAAGATAAATATTAGATAATTATTATGAAATACTTTATGTTAATGTCCACGAATGAGGAATTAGGGACAATATGTTGTTAAAATAAAAATGTTAAATATAAAATGTTCGGAATATATTATTCACCAAAACTATCAACTAAGTATATTACAAATTACATTATATGGATACAGTAACACAAAATTTTAAAGAATCATGAATGTTATGCAAATTAAAAGCATGCGTAGAAGAATTTAAAAGCTAACGTAGATTAACTGCAACTTATGAAGTGAAGAGCCGCAATTTTGACCGCAAAATCTAGCACCAGTCTATTTTGAAGGATTTTTAATATTTATAGGAAGTTTGTTTCCGTTTGATGTTGGTAAACGCCCTTTTATAGTGATTAGCTGGCAGTAAAACCAGGTTTCTAGTTTGAGAGGAGGTGATTTTGATATTATGAATTTCAAGGCAGGTAACCTAAGGCTTAACACACTAAGCGGTACGTAGCTACTCTATGAAATTAAAAATTTCTCGAAACTGCCTTGAGAAAGAGGCATTTTCTTGATTTCAATTTCTTGATTTGAGCCCAAATTCCCATGGTTCTTTATACCGGATCTATATCCTTTTAACATATTCCTTATTTCCCCGGACATATTTCAAGATACACGTAAATGTTCTCTCTTAAAGACGTCACAAATAATATTCTAGGTCACACACTAACACAAACATACACACATATATATAAAAGTTAATATTTAGAAGTGATCTTCTCTAGAGGCACATCTCAAAGCGGCGGATGGGTGGTAACATGTGTTCCTTCGGGAGTATGCAGCTAACGGACCACACTCCAGAAGCACTCCTCGAAGAGAAGACTCCCAAAACCACACTCCAGAGGCTCTACTCCAGAGGCACTCCTCGAAGCGGCGGACGGGTGGGAACATATGCACCTTTGGTGGTATACATCTAACGGTCCCAAGACCACACTCCTCCGCGATTAGTCTCTCGTGGTATCTGTACCCTGTATGGCTTAGTTATAATTGAAATAAAATATCTTCACAGTGACTATACTACAAAATCTTCGCCTGTACGGAAGCCCACTCGAGCGCTTCAGGTGATCGTAATGGTACTGTCATGTTCTACTCGGACTGTGTGATTGCTAGTTGTTTTAGACTCATTCACTGGAGTTGCTATCAACCCCGTTTGGTTTATCCTTTGGGCAGGGATCTTCTCTAATGCGCACTGTCGAGACGTAATCGAATTTTTGGTTACATATTCTCTGGTCAGTTGTAACTTACTAGGAGTGGGAAAATAAACTATGTTGAATTTTCAGTCTGTCTTTGTGTGTAAGTGTGATTCTAACTACAGTCATAATATAATTCTCCGACAAATTAGAAAGTACCACCGAGTGAAGTAGCGTTAGTATAATTCTGAAGTGCATATCAATATTGCAGCTGAAGAAAGAAATTCAAGCATGGACGACTGGGCTTCTTCTATTGTTATGGCACTGAATCTTTGAAAACTGTTTTTCCTTTTTATTTAGCGTAGCATCTGTTTAGCAGTTATTTGCAACAACCAGCGTGTATTTGTGTTCTTTTCAAGTTCTTCAATCAGTTAGCAAAATCTTGGAAATTACTCATATTTGATCTAATATCACACTGAAATTTTCCGCAAGAAGTCGAAGCTGTCTTAACTTTTTCCAACCTTCTTGCTTCAAGTGCTATAAAGATCACGTGACAAGACCGAAAAGGCTATTGGAAGCCCCCCCCCATTGTGCATTTTAGAAGACTCTTCCTCGGCTGCGATTATTATGTACATTAAGAATTATACTCTTGTTAATCAGATTGACTTTTAAGAATAGATAAATAGCAAACACAGCTTCAAGCTCATTGTGGTAGGGGGTTGTTATTCAATCATCGTCATATATAGGCGCTTCATGTTGAATTGGCGCAGACTTCCAGATAGGTTTTGACAGCTGGTGAAAGGGGGTAAGAAGTATTTCTATTGTAAGCAAAGGCCAATTTCAAAGGCGAAAAGCAATCTTTAGAAGGGAAACAAGTTATCATATGCAGGGGTATCACATAAGTCTGTAAATATTTTAAAAATTCATAAAAATTGAAGGAACTGATAGAATTAAATGCGGTTTGCGAAAAGGTTATTCTCATGAAGATGGATGTTTTTCTGTAAAGAAATTAGTACACATTTTCTTTGACAGAGGGCGCCACACAGATGCAGTAACTAGAAAAATGTAAATCAGAGTCCTATAAATTGCAGATTTTACGATTACTACCTCATTTGTGATTTTTCTGTCTACTTGCTCATATATAAAGTTTTAATTGTGACGTTGAGATTAGTTGGTAAAGCGTTATGAGTGAAGTTGTTTTACCTCAGCCAAGAATAGCCGACTGAAGATTTACGAACGTTTCGGACACAGAAGGGGTGGAAGAGAGGTTCATGTCATTATTTCTTTGAGCAGTTCTGTGCAAAACCTGGCGGAAGATCTGCTGAATTACTGGAAAACGCTACTTGCAACTGCTGCAGGAGAAAGTGATACCGAACTTACTAGAACATAATGTCCTTGACACGGTGATGTTCATGCAAGATGAGGCACCTCATCATATCACAACCGACGTGAGAACGTTCCTAAGAACAACATTAATCGAAGAGCGATTAATTGGCTGTCACTGTAAAAATTAGTAGCCGCTTTGCTCGCCGGTCTTAACATCACTTGATTTTTGGCTTTGGTGTTATGTCAAATCCAGAGTGCACCGCAAAATCCCATTTTCTTTGCTGAAGTTAAAGGACGCCATTCGTCACGAGAATATCTTGCATCCATTCGGATATACTACATGCTGCAATTAACGGCGTTGTAATTCGCTTGCAAACTGTAATTTGTGATGACTGAGGACATATAGAATAAGAGTGATATTCTTGTAAACATTTGCCTGCATGCAAATAAATGTAGTTTTCCTTGAAATATGTGATTTGCTCTCGTACAGCGCACTCTATCGAAGAAAATGTTAACTTTTTTTTCTTTATCCAGAAAAAAATCCCTTTTATGAGAATAACGTTTTCGCAAACGGCGTTCAAGTTTACGAAATCCTTCAAATTATATGAATTTTTAACACATTTATGGACTTACAGGACATCCTGTATGTACAGAACATCCTGTATGTTTGAGTTTTGTAGAACGGTGAAATAGTTAAAGACAAGCAAATTTATTACAAGTCACAAACAGGTTTGAACCGATAAGATCAAAGACACTGATGATGCAAATATTACGACAAATTATTAAACCCGTACAGAGCTACATTTGTATAAAAAGTATTTGTAGCCGCCCAGTCGGTATAGTGGTCAGGGAAGCTGACTGCGATGCCGAAGGGCCTGGGTTCGAATCCCGGAGAAGGCATGGTTATAAACTGTCCGTCATTTCATAGGAAAGGCGATGGTTGGCCACCTATTGGGTGCCTCCATAATAAAGAGACCACCACATCTGGTATAGATTAATGGATTGGGTTACATTTATAATTGTTCACAATCTGCCATTGAAAAAAAAAATATTTGTATAAAGTGAAATAAATTAAGAGAATTTGCATATTTTATCAAATTGCACGAAAAGAACTGAACTGAAGGAAAAACCACTGCTTCTAAATAAAAATGCAAATCTTGTACAACAAATACGTAAGCGTACACTTGCGTGTAGGCAGAGCCAGCAGAAAAATAGTCTTTGTAAGCTCGGGGAGGGTAAGACGAATTGCGTTCGCTAGCACACCTCAGCGAATTTTTTGGTGTTATCTTTCAGCAATAGGTTAAATTCACATCGGAACAGTAAAAATGAGTAACCACCAACGTTTAGGTGATGGAATGAGGTGGCGACTTATGGGGAGGCTAGAGGCAGGCCAATCGCAAGTCCAGATATGCAGAGAGTTTAATTTAGCGCCCAGCGGGGTATGTAACCTACGGAAACATTTCCAGGATACTGATTCCATCGAGAAAAAGCCTGGGCAAGGTCGTCCAAGAGCCACGACGGTCAGAGAAGATCGCTATTTTTTCATTTTAGCAAGGCGTAAACAGAGGGGCTACAGCTTCTCAGCTCTATCGGGACCTGTATGCAGTCACAGGAACCCGTGTGACAAGGGTGACTGTTTTTAAAAGACCGAATGAGAGAGGGTTGTTTGACAGAAGACTGGCTGTTTGCGTCGTCCCGCTCACGTCTGCGGACAGGAGAGTCCGATTAGCATGGTGCAGGTAGCATAGTGATTGAAGTACAGAGCAATGGGCGACTCTGTTGACTAGACTAAAGTCACCATTTTAGCCTAAATATCGATTCTCGCTGTACTTTCATATGGAGAGAACCAGGGACCTGCTACCTACCCTCCAATATCCGCGAAATCAACAATTATAGCGGTGGCGGTGTAATGTCTGAGCAGTCATCATGTTTGGCCGCATACCTCTCCGCGTCTTTTACAGAGGGTCTGTGACTGATGTTCGTCTTTTTCGAGGTGCAGTGGGCCCCGAGATCATCTTACAGGACGATAACGCGAGGCCACATAGAGCTCTTCTGGTCAACTTTCTTGAGAGTGAGGATATTCGCCGGATGGATTGGCCATCCAGGCTTCCAGACCTCATACAGTATGTCTGGAACGCTCTCGGGAGGGCAAATGCAACTCGCAACTCCCTTCCGAGAACCATCCAGGAACTAAAAACAGCGTTACTCAATGAGTGCGACCAATTGCCACATGCACTGATAAATTGTCTTATTTCCAGTATGACATCACGCTGCGAGGCCTGTATAGTTGTAAGAGGGGACCATATCCCCCCATAAACCAATTTCTTCCATTTCTTTTGTGTCTTCTGCAACCGCTGTTTCAGACCTTCAGACTCCCATGAGTGTTAAACACGAACATATGTGTCTATTATAACTGTTGAATGTTTATTTTGTTTGTATAATATTAACTTATGTTCACACCAAATTTTATTAAAATGTGTCCAGTAGTTCTACAGATCGTAGATGAAAATTCTCTTAATTTATTTCACCAGTGTATTACATTTAACTCCACGCGAATAACCCTATAAGTTGTTGCTGTTGAGATTTATAGCACTTGATCGATAGTCACATCAGAGTAAGCTCACGAAATTCTTCGTGGCAAGGAGTCAAGATTGTGCCTGTCGTGGTAAGAGCCTCGGGCACCGTACAGGTGACACTAAGACTTTACCCATTTCCACCCCCAACTTTGATGGAGAGCATCCCGCGGGAACGGCTCCGACGGTCTACCACCCCCTCTTCTCCTACCATCAACCTCTCGAGAGAACTTTCTGCTCGCGCATATTTAAAGTGCTTCCCTACTTTACAGACGCTATACATTTACAAATATCCATTCCTACTCCGGAATTTGAACCCGGCCCTTACGTACAGCAGTCAGCGTCGCTAAACACTACTCCGGTTGGGCGGCTTCCTATAAGTTCGTTGTAGATACAATGAGGAAGAGGGGCTTTAATCAAGTTCACAAAGTTTTAAACAAATCTCAATACGATGTTTAGGCTAGAAAATGTTTTCTAAGAGTAAATATTACTATCTAATGTAATAAAATAGGAAACGGTAACAAGCATAAATGATTTTTAAAATAAAAAAACTACCTACTTCTTCGTTTCCATTGATGAATGAAATCCTAGATCTTCTTTGTCGAGCTCTCAGATAACGAATAAAGATATCCACCGTAGTGAAAGTCAGTAAACAATTTCTTGAAATAACATTTAAAAAGTGCGGATAAAAGGTAGCATTTTCCAGATTTTGAAACCTACAAAAATTGTACCTCGCTTTTATAAACCTAAAATATTACGAAGAAATATATAGACAAGTAAAAAATATTTTTTTTTCCTATTTGATTATTTAACAGTTGATTATATGACAGTTAGATAACTTAAAATGATTCATAAACAGGTATTATTACAGTTCAAAGTGTGCGAGTTCATCACAAATTCATTTTTTATATACTTACAATTACAAAAATGTTTTAAACGACGCAAAAATTCACATTTTTTAGCATTTTAAAGTTAAAAAGGTCAGTTTTATGAAAATTATGAAGTATAATTTTTGATACTGTCTCCCGATACCGAGTAAAATGTTTATCTCATTCTCTAACGCAAAAAGTTAATAAAGTCAAAAGATTATATTCAGGAGCTGTACATAAATTGAAGAGTGAAATGTGTGCATGTGTACGCAACTAAAAATAGAATACCAATTTACGTAAAACGTTTAGAGAGCGTTTCATCGTAGAAGCGTGTTCATCTTCTACTCCTCAGTTGGAGAAATTCAAGAGGTTACTATAGCAATCTCCGCGCTGTGAGATCAAGCACTGAACTGGTAAAAAAGCACTAAAAAAATGTGAGAGGAGAACTGGGTAGTGAGAATTATAATTCAATCTACTTAAAGCTGCACTTCCTGTTGTTAAAGACAGGGCAAGACTGGAATCAAAGTTGTATGATAATTACTCGTTATTAGGAGGATGAATTAAATGATTTAGGTGAGCAGGTCACATGAGACAGGCGCCTGGACATAGTTCGATGCTATGTATAATATAGTGAAAAAATTGATAGCAATTATGACTACATTAGGTGGTAATTCAGAATAGTATAGCACTCTAAATGCAGAGAAAAACCATAAGTCAAGCCAAAAAATTTCTGATTAGTTACTGAAGAAACACGTTGAATTTTGGCCGCAGAACCGACGAGGAAAACAGGTGTAACAGCGAAGTCAGGAGCAGAAAGTTTCTACTAGGCTGAGAGGAAGGAGTTAATAATTTTATATTTAGAAATTGTTATAAAGCAGGAAAACCAACACGAAAAATCACTGAAATAATATTGCCTTTGCTTTCGTGAGAGTGTTGCACGTACGAAACTTCACAGAACACAGAAAACGCAGGTATGTTCGAACAATTGCTTGAATTAGCTGTGAAATTTGAAATTCGGCGTATTTCAAATTAATATATCATATAAAATATGCGTAGGCGGAAGTATGAGGAAGGATTTAGTAAAACTTTAGTTGCAGAAATAGGTAATAAGTCTCACGGAAAAATAATAATAATAATAAAAAAAAAAAAAAATCTGATGTGGACGTACCAGACTTCCTTGCACACCCTATTAAATTATACGCATTTTTGGGTGCATTTCATTTAAATTTATTCCTTCGAATTATTCTAACTTAATTAATCGATTTCCGAAGCAAGTTGAAAATGACACCAAATTTTAATTAAATATATTGGTTAATTTTTGAAGTCCGGGCCTTCAAATATCTTAATGATTTTTTATTTTCATAACGCGTAAAAAAACTTCCCCAAGTATAAGTATGGGAACCGGGAGAACGCATAAAAGTCAGATTTCATTATTTCATTATTTGTCAATTTCTTTTTTAATCTGACGTTGCCAAAACATGAATATTTTCGCCATTGAAAACACTTCTGTGACTGGAAGCTATGACCAACTATGACCAACGACTATGACCAACGACTGCGAAACTAAATGATCAGGTAATACTTTTACACCATATTGCTGATTATAAGAAGAGAGAGAGCACAAATAGATGTTATAGAAGTCCCATATACAGAATTTCAACTTTCTGCGTCTAACTGTTTTCCAGTTATGGGAGATACATACATACATACGTACCAACGTCACAAAAAATTTCCTTTCGAATCCATTTTAAATCCACTTTACAATCTGTTTGGGAAAAGAGGAGTTTTTCATTCTATCCTTTCTTTATTCTGTCTGTATAGGGTCACGAAAAAAAAATCGTCCATATGTATTCGGGAACGGTAAAAACGGATATTCCGCTGAAAATTGATACCCGAAATTTTTAGCGCTTAGAATACTTCCTTTCTTTCGTATAACGAACTAATAAATAATGGTCAGCAGATTTTTTGTTTGCTAGGTGGCGATCGTCAAAGGGTTTTGATAAGAGAGTGGGCGGGAAAAATTTAACCTTGAAAAGGGATACTGACTGTCAGAAATGTCATTCTCTCCAAAGTAAAGAAAAAGGCCTCTCAAACTCAACTGAACATGGGATTAGTTAAAAGCATCAAGCTTCCAGATATCTAGCTCTTGTTGAATGAAATCCCCTCAGTATTTTTCTAGACACAGGGGCGCAGAGTAGCATTTTTTGGAAAAGCAATTTTTTTCCCTCTCCTAATGGCCCAGTTCGGCTTGGAATCTCCATTGGAGTGGTGGTCACTTTATTGTGGAGGCACCTAATAGGTGGGCCACCTTTGCCTCCTATGAACGGACGGACCTTATCCGGGATTCGAACCCGGGTCTTTTGGTATTGCAGTCGGTTCTCCTAACCACTATACCGTCTGGGCAGCGAAGTAGTTTAGAAAATATTATCGAAAATATATAGATTGCTTGACGTCATAGAAACAATGATAATAAAATCGCAAGGACAATATTATTAATGTGTACGGCGTGTGATTTTTCAATCCGCAAAGTAAGAAAGAGCACCATAACGTAGTACTTTTCTTGGTTAGAAATTCGTAGGCCTAGATCGTTTATTACTAACGTCTGCTCATTTTTTACTAATCATAGCTGAATCAGCCATTTATTACTAGCTAAATTTATTACTAACTGAATCCGACATTTACTACGAACTGCATTCATAATAAATAAATTACAATTAAAAAAAAAGAAAAAGAAAAAGAAAATCTGAAAGGTTTCAAATTTTAAATTGCGTCCAAAGGGGAGTTTTTTTTTTACATTTTGTGTGTTACCTTGATTTATTAAATATCACGTTCTTCGCACTTAAACCATGAAATTAATTTCAACAGCAATATCGGAAAATAATTTTAAATTAAGCATATCTTTAGAATTTCCGATACACAGTCTCCCGCGCTGGAAATAAAAATAATATTTTTTTCTGTATAACGCTGACATCGCTCGCTTTGAAATCCTTGAGTTTGTTAATCAAAAATGCGTTAAAGTTTTACAAAATATGAAATCGATAATAAAACAAATTCCAAATTTCGGCTTGATTTCGGCAGATGTCCATATTCGCAGGAGGATTACGTCATTCAAAATTGGATGGCTCTAGGTACTGTTGTTTTATCACAATACGAGAAACATGCATGCAGTTATACAGATTCTTCATTATTTAATTTCTTCAAATATAATACGAGGCGATAATATTTGGTGGCAACGATTTGAAAAGTAATACAGCCTTTTAAAGGTTTCGATGCAAAATGCCGAAACGAAATTAACAGTCCTTCAAGACAAATTGCCCCTTTGGACTAAAAGTTATAATTTATGAACTAAAAATTTATTACGAAATCAGGTATTTTTCAAAAATGGAAACAATTTAAAATCTCGTACTTGGCCAGACTACATTCATGCATTTGGGTGACATAATATTCATTGTAACACAATTGACTTTCGATACTTAAAATATCAAAGAATGAAAGAGAAATATAGATTAAAAAATTAAGCTATTAAAAATTACCCACCACTTAACATGGCGAAGGAACTGGCACCATTTTTTGAGTTTGTGCTTTTATTATATAACATTCATTAAAAATTTTGCTCACATAGCAGCGCACTTATTAAATTTAAGAAAGAGAAAGGCCTAGATTACACTTGGTAAGCGGGAGCGAATACGGCGTTTGAGAAATTTAATGTGGCATTAATTCAAGTTCTGCCTGGTCTTGAAATTTCCTTATTCAAAGGCAACGTAGAAATCACCACAGCAGGTGGATCTGATTTTTCAGTAGGAACCGTGCTTATGCAAAACGAACAACCGGTAGCACATTCTATCGTTTATTAAATATCAACGGACGATATTATTTTAGCTTAAGCTGAGCGAAACATTTGTGTACTTTTCACTAATTTGTGCTTTAATACAATTTGTTTATTAGAAATTGAAATCGTTAAGTTCATAATATGTTTCAACTTCATATCTGTCTTGTAAGGAATTGTAGCATTCCCTTTTGCGTACTCTCACAGTGCATAAATGGTAACACATCCGGCTAGCAAATGAAAGATTTCTGTTCGAATATCCACGACAGCATATTCTATTTTCAAGTTTCTCGCTTCGAAAATCATTAGTTCCTACGGTGGCAGCCGAACGAAAATATTGTTCATGATAATTCGTTACCACAAGGATTTGGTTGATTGGGTCTTATCCTTTAAGCAAGGGAAAATCTAAGTTATAGTAGCATATCCAGCTTGTGTTTTCTAATGATATAAGAGGTTATAACAAGATCAGTGGTTAATACGAGCAATAGCATAGTTGGAATTTTACGCTTCTCACTTTGAAAACCCTAATAGACTCTACAGTGGTGCCAGAACTAAAATGGGGTGCTTGGTAATTCCTCACCACTCAGGCTTGATTGATTATATCCCATGCCCTTTCCTAGTCATGGGTACAGAATATAAATAATTATTGCACTTCTTTGTGTAAGCTTTCGCGGACGGTAAATTTAGGGTATTTAATTAGTAATTGGGACATTCATATTATTTTCAGTTTCGGTTCACTTCTTTCAGATTTTAATGATACCACTTTTTAACCCACTGGAAGTGTTTTTCTGCAATACGGATATCCGATTGCAAGTTTTATTAAAAATTTTTAATGAAAATGGTATAAAAATTGACGCGAATTTTTCTGTATCAATAATAATCATAAGAAGTAAATAGATACTCTACCTTATTCCAAATAGATTAGGCACTATCAACAATAGAATATGCTGCTGAAAGAAAAACCCTGAGTTATTATTTGATTTATAGAAAGGAAAAGAACATGGATTTTAACATATATGAAAAAGAAGCTACAGTAGGTGCCACTTAATGCGATTATCTGTCTTCAACTATGTCTCATTACGTTTGTTCATGCTATCCTGTTTTGATAGAGTTGACTGAATGATAATATTGTACTTAGGTATGATCCCATCGAGAGGTAAGTAACACGATTCAGCGACAGTTATGAATGACCACTTCCTTTAGAATTCCACAATAACGATTGGCGATTAGCGATCGTTGCCAAAATTTTCGCCAGCAGTCGACGGGATAATATGTAAGTACCGATAACATTAAACGATGAGAAAAAATATCTTTCAGAACAGCTATGTAAAATCTCTAATTTAATATAAATACATTAATAAATAAATATTTTCACATAATTTTAACTTGAAAAATGCTAACATTTTTTATGAGCTGTTCATAATGTCTTTATTCACTGCAAAGAGAACATGCAAATGTAAAACTGAAAATTAAGCAAAAAGGGGGAGGGGTAATTTGGCGTAGATTTTTTTCACAGGCCTTTTTTTAAGGACCAAATGAAAAATAATTCGGCGGATTTCCGTCCTTCCTTCTCCTGAAGGAAAGGGATGTGTGTCTGATCATCCTCAAAATCGGTAGAGTTATTCAAAATCTAAGCTAACAACTAAAGTTGCAATTTTTTTCCATCTAGTTTTAAATACTTGGCTAAAAATGAAATCAAGCAGTTTGGAGACTGAGCGCCTTATTTGGCGACTTTATTAAAAAAAAAGAAAAAAAAAAAAAAATTCTGCGATACTTTTATCACATTAATCAAATTGTTGATCATAATAAGCGATGTATTTTCCATGTTTTCATATACAAACGGGCGGGACTTCGGCAATTTGACAGCGATCCGAATGATAACATCAACCACGGTTACATTAATCGGAATCTAATGTGCAAATTATAAGGTACAATTTTAATTGAATAAAGAAGTGTTTTTATTTATTGAAAAGGGTGTAAAATAATTTTATCTGGTACTTATGTGTTAAGACAACCATCTGAGTAGAAGTCGCCAAATTTCAGAATGCGCCAAACGCTGGCACATAACCATTATTCAATTTTCACAAACAACATTGCCATTTCCGCATGCGTCTTTTTTATTGCACTCCAAACTCCAACGTTTTTTTATAGAAAAAGCGCAATGAAATGTATTTATATATTATTTTGTTAAGTTGACGGCTGAATAATTAAAGATATTAATTTAAAGACTAAGATAAAGAATTCATTGCGTCATGTTAATGCAATAATCCAAATAAATAAAAAATGGTTTACTTACTCATAGTACCAAAGAATTATTTATTTTATACTAACAGCTACTAAATAGGGTCACTTTTGCCGAGATCAAAACTGTCAATCAAACACAAAATTTTTACAAATAATAAGATACTTCTTAAAGTTCTGAATGATTGCAGAGAAATATGGAAAAATTCGAAATCCTTCGGACACCTACATCATCTTTAATACTCACTATTTGAACACTTCACGAATAAAATCACATCTGAGAAGCAAATGGTTGAAATTTAAGCAGTTATTTATCACGCAGAAAAGAAACTTCTTTGTCCAAAACACAGTAGTCTTCAGCCGGATGAAACAAAATGATACTCATAATATTCCTCGTAGCATTTTTCATCTAAGTGGCAGGGTAAAGCCTGCAGACTTCAAAAAGACGGAGAGATGACAAAAAGTCTTAGAAAAAATAGTGATTATCTCATCCAATTCAGTTTTTATCATGTTTTTGCACTGTTTCGTTTGTATTAATAATAAAAAAGGCAGAAATTTCTAGATCACATAATAATTGAGGTGAAATTTTTGTAGATTTGGTTTGGTTTAATTATGATATAAAGCATGCGAGGGCCTTTTTTCCTAACGAGAGGGATGCCTTCGTAGAGGTCTTAAGGTAAACTAGTTCATATACACGTTGCACTTGATTAACACCACAAAAACGTCTATGAAGCCAGTCCATTCGCCTGGAGTAGAACACAGGACAAAAAAAGAGATCTTTATAGTTTTAGATTCTACAGAAAGACTGTCAAGCAAGAAAAGTAAAGAAAATAATTTGTATTTCTTTAAGAAGTTCAAAAAATTGACAAAATTAGCATTAATTTTCGAACATTAATGAATTGTGCAATGAATATGCGAAAATGTTTTCTTACTTCTGAAAGTGCCGCTATAATCTCCATCCAAGTAAGAGATTCGTTGGAATTTCTTTCAAAAGAATTAGCCATCTGTCTCAGTTCAGCGCCGACTCTTGCCAAATCGTTTCGGGATCTAAAATAAATTAGAAAAAAACTATCTAAAGTAGAATCGCGTTATTAAATTGGAAATATATGTCATAAATGTTGGACATAATCATGATAAAATATTAAGAAAAGACACATCTATTCGTTAGGGTCAAATGAAGAAGTAACGACGACGGCAAAGCTCAAAACGTTGTCAGTAAAAGTAAAAACTTTGTAGTTGTATTAATCCTTTAAGAATGATCTACAGCAGTGGCCTCAAACCAAAATTGCATGCGGGCTGAATGCATGATTTGAAATCAGGTAACAGGTTGGAATTATTTTTAACAAAATGAGAATGAATGTACAGAGTTTCCGAATCAAATGTACCTAGTTTGGAAAGGTCGTTCTACTTAACAGAACGTTTAAATGCATAAGAAAACTGTAAAATTAGGTACCAATACTCACTAAGGTTTTATTAAACAATCAGTACAATTCAATGCGAGCCTTAGTAGCCCTGAGAATGACCAGCCGGTAGTCCAGTTCCAGTTATATGGTCTTCAATATTACGGATGTTCCCTGAGTAGACCTGAGTTCCTGAGTTTGTCTTTCACATAGCCCCAAAAGAAGAAATCGAGAGGAGTCACGTCGGGAGAGATTTGTGGCCTGGCAATTGGACCAGAGCATCTTATCCATCGGTTAGGAAAAGTTGTATTTAAAAATGCACGAACATGTTTACCCCAGTGAGGAGGGGCTCCATCTTGTTGGAAGATACCAATGCGTTATAAATGCTGCATCTGTGATATTGCGTAAATTTGTAACATGTCCAGGCAAATGCTTCTCGCACAGATGTCTCAGAAAAGAAAAATGGTCCTATGGCTGTGTTATGTGATAGAGCACACCAGACATTGATTTTGGGGTTACTTCGGTCCGATTCATGTAGTGAAAGGGAATTTTCTGAGCCCCAAAATCTGAAGTTGTGCTTATCAACGTTGTTGCTAACATGAAATGTAGCCTTATCTGAAAAAAAAAAAAAAAAAAAAAAAAAAAAAAAAACGCGGTTTAGAAAATTATGTTCATTTTCGATGTGAGATAACATCTCCACAGCAACTGCTGCACGCTGCGGCCCATCATATGGTTGCAATTTCTGAACAGTTTGCATTTTATATGTATGCATCCTCAGTTTTCGATGCAGCACATCATGAATAGTTGATCATTCCTGAGAGAAGGCACAGGCGGTGACGCCGATTTTTCCGTTTGTTAGCTCAGCAAAAGCGCAGCTGAGTCAGACGCGAGAAAAAAATGTTGTCACGAAACTCTACGAATTCAGCTCCCACATGTGGCCAATATCACCTTCGTAGCGCTAAAACTTTGCTTTAATCGATTGTTCAAAATAGTTACATATTATTCGGACACCCTGTATATATATTACATTATGACTACCCCTCACCTAGAGCAAGGAGACAAAACCACGGCCCACGAATGGCTAATGCTGTACTATAGAAAGCTCCCATGTACTGTTGTTTCAAATGTTGAGTGTTTAGCGACATAATGGGAAAAACAGCTGATTTATCAGATTTCGATAAAAGTCAAATCGTTGTAGCTCGGCACCTGGAAACCTGTATTTCAGAAACTGCGTATTTTGTGGCCTGCTTACCTGCAGCTGTTGTTTATCGAAAGTGGTGTATGGATGGTGAAACGACAAATCTGTCGGACAACAGTTTGTTGTCCACAAGGCATTGATTCCAGAGAAAGGAGACTGTTACGTACTACTTGCCATGACTGAAGGACTACAGCGGCCGAAAACACCAGCAGCTACTACAGTGATGACCCAGACAGTATGTCTTAATATACAGCGCAGCACCCAGTACTGTGTATGAGACTCGAATCGGATGCCTGTGCTGATGTCATATCACAACTGTAAACAGCCAGGTCACACCGCGAATTATCGCGGGTGTCCTAAGTTTCCTAAACCTTATAGAGATACTTCTGATAACGCTAAAAATGTTACTGATTCTGTTAGTTCAAGTACTAAGAATGAAAATGTTATTACAAAACCTGTCACCTCAGGCGTTAGCTATGCTAGCACAGTTAAACGTGGTTTTTCTGTCCCTACTGACAAGCCGGATAATGATAAATGTGTAAATAAGGTTAAAAGTGTGAAGGATGGAGCTAAAGACTCTGGTCTTGCTGCTGTTATGGACATACTCAAACTCATAAAAGAGTTAGTTCATATATTCAAGGATCGTCCTGTTGTTAAAATAATTGATAAAATTACTAAAAAAAATGCCAGAGCTGCGTGCAGCTGAACATACTATTGATAAAATGTTTATATTAGTGGATATCTTTGAAAATGTATTTGGCACTAAATGTACTGACAATGAATAGTGTTGTAAATAATTTTATTTTCTTCATCCTAGTTTAAAATATAGATTAATTCTTGTACTTCTTTGCCTATGTATCTGCATGCATTGTATTGATTTGTCTTTTCTGTAAATATTAGCACCGTGAAACTCACACTTCCTTATGCCTAGTTTGTTTTTTCTAAGTGTATTTTCTTCATCTGATCTATTTTGACTACAAGTTACTGTTTTTTTTTGGTATCATTTGCAACAGCTTGTACGTTCTACAAGGGGTAGGGTTCACGATAACCCTGGCACCTTGGTGTTACACCGTTCCACTGGAGGCCTTCTTTGAATTTTGAATTAATAAAGGGTTATTTTCACCCTTCTTCTGCGTTGGTTGTTTCTTCACGCCTGTGCGAGAATTCGCCAGGTCATTGTAGGATCTAAATCTAGTTTGTGTGGAACAAGAGAGAACGACCCTATAAAACTTTTTAATCATTAGGGAAATAAATTTCCGGTTTTAATTGGCATTTACCTTTAATTTTTTAAGACAATATTATCAATTAAGCGTTATTTTTTGTGCTGTTTCAACGGTAATTTGAGATAGAGATACACTACCTGTTTTGTCGGAACTGCGGAGAATAGACGAAAATCAGAACAGACTCACGAGGAAGACTTAACTGTCTTCGTAGCCCACCCTAAAATAGAACATCTATATGAAGAGATCTGAGAAGAAAATTGTAAAGAGTGCAAGTTAATAATAATAACTGAGAAGAAAAGTATAAATCACTTGTTCGAAAGTACAAACATACTTACAGATATTGCTGTGTCAGTACAAGAGTGCATCAATAAAGCGAGTATTAATGTTATCATTCATTGACCAATGTGGCAATAAATAGATGTCCATATTAAAAAAATCCCGAAGTGACTTTTTTTGGATTGTCAGTCACCACTTCAAAAGACAGCGAAATATTTCTTTGGATTGTCAATCATCAATTAAAAAAATAGAGAAATGTTATTTCACCAGTTCAAAAAGTAGCTAAATATTTCTTTGGATTGTCAATTCAAAAAATAGCGAAGCATTTTTTGGATTATCAATCCCAAAACATATTTCGCTTTTTCTCAACTGATACTCTTTTTTGATTGGTAAAAGATAGTACCAATTCAAAAAATAAAGAAGTATTTTTTTTTTTTTGAATCGATACTATTTTTTGAATTGATACTCTTTTTCATTGGTTTTTCTTTTCTTTTTTTTTCTTTATGCATTGATACCTTTATTTATTTTTTGATTTTTCTGTATTAACTTTCTAGCCCCTGTCCTTCCAAACTTGAAAACACATAAGTATTTATTTAGATTTAGGTACATATACATTCATTTTTTTATTAATTAAGAGAAAGCATAAAAACAATAATAAATACCAAAACTTCAATAAAAGTAGTTTTGTATTCATAAACTAAAAATAAATACTGAGCAGTTAAAAAAAAAAAAGGTTGACCTCCTCCCCCTTGAAACTCTATGATATTATCCATGGGGTGAATTGTGTCCTGGTTGAGAAACCCTGCCCTAACGGCTGGAAAGTGTTAAACGTCGTACAAACATTTAAGAGAGTATCAAAAACATCATCAGTATTAGAAATGCCAAGAATTGACTAATAGATATGAAAATATTTGCGCACAACTATGTATTTACGCAGTTTAATAGTTTTAGCATAACAGTACTTCTGCAAGTTGCTTTTCTCGCTGAACTTCATTGCTGTTCGGTGTGCTGTGTCGAAGCGCGTTAAGAGGTGGTGTGGTGTATTTAATTATGGCAAAGCACACTAGGGCTATGTCCCTAAGGGGAGGGATGCCTTCGTGGAGAACTCTTTAAGGGAAACTGGCTCGTATACACGTTAAACATGGGGAAAACCACGAAAACGCCCATGCAGCCAGCCCGTTCGCGAGATTCGAACCTCGGACCGAACTACCAGTGTTCAGCGACTTTACCGCTCGGCCGCTGGTGGGCTCGTTAAGAGGTGGAATTTTTAAATTTCTTATCCATCTTTTCCAAGCAGAGAAAGAGTAAAATTTTTTATGGAATCACGTGGTACGTTTATTTCTCCGTTACGTTTTTGCTTTTTGACATTGATGGTTTTATGAAATTTTCTTAGAAATTGTGGATTTTAAAAATATTTTCTGCTTTTCGTTTAAATATGAAATATTTGCATAAATTACACATAATTGTTTTTCAGGTGTATATAGAACCGAATACATTTACACTGATATGTTTTTATACATTTTCTTTCCAGGTGTGCATGGAACTTATAAATTTTGTTTTGGCCGCAGCACACTCGCCCACTCATCTGGAGGATTGCCTGGTAGTCTTTACAGAATCCCTGTAGAACATTAGATTAACATTCTAGATTATCATTTTATTTATCTTTACAGAATCTCAGTAGCACACAAAAACATATGAACTGATATGACGCGACTCAAGTCATACGATGTTTCTCGTCTTGAATATGAAATTTCCTAAATTTGTCTTGTAGAGTTACTAGGATTTTTTGAAGGAGGAGACGTGAAAAATGTGCAATGCCATCGCCAGGATTCGAACCTGGACCTCTCGAATACGCACCGAGGGTGCTACCGTTACACCAGGAAGGCCTACTGGAAAGAGGGAGGAAATACCTTATAATCTTATACTAATTTAGCACTTAATGTATAATCAAGAATTGAATTTGTTAATTCACTCCTACGTCTATGCATTGACTATACATACGTAATGTACACTGCGCAGAAAGAAAAGGGGGGGGCAGATTTATATGTCTCGTTTCACTCTGTAAATTCAAATTACGTTTTTCATGTCTCGAAAGCACGACTTAGGATATATATCAGATTTATATATAGCATTGTTCTAACATAGGTATTTTGACACAAAATCGGACGTTTTCTGAAATAATACATCAAATGTTTTCCATATTTCGCTCCTAAGACTCAATTTATGCCCAGATTACATTTTGTAAAATTTTGTGCGAAATTTCCATAAAAATTCAAATATTTATCTAGGTGAATTTTTTTTCAGTTTGGCCAAGAATAGTTCACTTGGCGAACTTCTTAATATTTATGGCAACCCATTTTCCTTTCCCTTCCATTATGCCGGAGCGGAAAAAACTGTTGTTTTATCGCTTTTAACAAATATGCCAAATTTCAAAACGAGCCAACATATAAATTCACTTATATCTTCGAAATTTTGAATAAAAAATTGTAATTTTTTGCAGGTCTGCTTAGAAATACGTCTACCTTAAAATGATGGTAAAAATTTCATAGATCATAATTCAGAAAACTTTTGAAAAATTTATAAAAATTATTTAAAAATACAAATTTTGAAAATAAATCATTAAAAATAGGTGAATTTTATTTGGAATGAACCTGAATTACGAAATGTGAAAGGAAGAATCAAATAAGTTTAATAAAAAAGAGACATTAGTAAATATATACTAAAGTAAATTAACATAAAGGAGCTAAAATTTTGAGAGATAATATTTTAAAAACTACTCGTGCGATTCTTACAAAACTCGGTAGTTTGGCGTAATTTGAGTCGTAGAATCGAAATCTGGAAAAAATTGGTATATTATTTCAGAAAAATTCCGATTTTGTGTCAAAATATTTAAATTAGAACAATGCTATATATAAATTTAATACATATCCTAAGTGGCGCTTTCGAGACATGAAAAACGCAAGTTGAATTTCGTCAATCGGCCCAGTAGAACGGGAGATATATCTCCCGTTGTACTGAGCCACTCATGAGTTCTACAAAGTAGTCAAACAGCTGCATGAACAGGCCAAGCGTTATACAAAGTGTTATACAAATTAAAGGGATGATAGCATTCATCCAGAAGAGCAATAATTACCGTAGAACATAGAGTCGCATTCCTCTCTGACAGGCATTAAGAGGTTTGGCTTGGTTTATTTAATTACGGCAAAGCACACTAGGGCTACCTGCCTAAGGGGAGGGATGCCTTCGTGGAGGACTTTCTAAGGGAAACTGACTCGTATACACGTTACACAGGGGGAAATCCACGAAAATGGCCACGCAGCCAGCCCGTTCGAGGGATTCGAACCTTGGACCGAACTACCAATGTTCAGCGACTTTACCGCTCGGCCGCTGGTGGGCCGCAGAAAAGAGGAATATTAGAATTTCAACCTGAACTTAGACAGTGTTGGGAGAGCGAATGAACGAGACCAAAATTTGTACAATCAGTTTAATGAAAAACTCGCAGTGTCTCAAGTGTTAATTCGAGTTCAGATTTTGATGGTATACACTCAAATGCACATCTTCGGTTGGTAAGGTCTCAACTTTGCAAACAATTGCAACAAGTTAATTATCTAAATTATTAGGCTAAAATTATTTATTAGCGGAAAAACTGCTACCTTGATATCAAGTATCCAAGGTAGCAGTTTCTTCCCCCTTCGCCATCTTCTATCCTGTTACCCTAAATTTACTGTTGAGTCCTTGATGTGCATTTGAGTGTTTGCCATCACAGTCTGAGCTCGAATTAACACTCGAACGCCAAGTTTTCGGTTTTATCCGTTTTGTGCGCTCTCTGTGAGTTTTGTTTTAAATTGTTGATTGTACAACATTTGGACTCGTTCATTCGCTCTTCCATCACTGTTTAAGTTCAGGTTTAAATTCTAATATTCCTCTTGTCTGCCTCTCAGAGGGGAATGCGACCCTATGTTCTATGGTAATTATTGCTCATCTGGATGAGTACTATCATCCCTCTTAATTTGTAGAAACGATTTAGAATCACCCTGTATAGACTTGAAGCGATTTCATTCAACTTTGTACGATTTCCGCTTTAAAACTTCATAGACACACCGTGTATGTTAACAATAGTGTAGGATTCTAGACCATGGAGATTAACTTGTATATGGTTCTGTAATGAATGATAGATTTCCTTACTTGTCTATTTAAGGCCGCCTGAGGCCAAATCATATCGTCAGACAACGACAGCTGGCTAGAATCTGTTCTTTGTATTGATTGATCAAGTTCAGACCTAGGAAATTCAAAAAGAGCAATCCTAAGAAGCAAAGCATAATATGAAGCTGACAAGATTGATAAATATTTCTATCAAAATTTACAAAATCCTGTGGAAACACATATCAGCTGCCAAACTATGCTTGCTTGTGACCTGAAATAAATATGATAATTTAAAAGACAAAACGTTTCTCTAACTAAAAATATATATTTAAAAATTCACACTTAAATATCAACTATATTAGGATTTTTTAACCATTCAGAGGAAGATGAAACTTTCTTACCTGTAATGGCGAAGGATGTTGCTGATATCTACACTCCTTTGCAAAAAAGTCGAAGCACCAAGAAGGACTTTTGCGATCGTGACGAAATTTGGTATGCAAAAACATCTTGATCGAACATGCAAATGATGAAAGTTTCAAGGCAAATGAATAGGAATTGCGATGGTAGCGGGCATTTCTAGCGCGCAATTCGCAAAGTATAAAACCAGTAACAGAAGCGGAAAATTTATCTTTTCTTGTTGTTGCCATTGTAATTCCGTAAAGAAGGAACTAAAGATGCCATTTCGACGATATAGAAGATCTTACAGACAGCTAAACGACTTCGAACGTGGTCGAATTGTAGGGGTGCGTGAAGCTGTGTGGTCATACCGAGCAATAGGCCGCCACTGCTGTGCAAAGATGTTGGCAGATATGTTTGCTAGAAGGAAATTGCCGAAGAAATGAAGGCTCTGGAAGGCCAAAGAGCACAAATGCGTGGCAAGATAGGATGATTGTTCGCCAGGACGAACCGCCCCAACGTCGACTATTCAACGCATTATTCAACGCATTATAGCCACGCCTATGTCATCCGTGGTACAGTCCACCATCTCACGGTCCTTGTCTCGGCGCTCACAGAGACCTTTAAGACGTTTGCCTTTGACCCCAAACATCGGAGGAGTCGGCTGGAGTGGTGTCGCAGCCGATCGTCACGGCTGCCATCAGACTGGCATCGTATAGTGTTCAGAGATAAATCCCGCTTCACTCTTGAAGCAGATGACCATCGCGTTCGTGTCTGGAGAGGACGGGGTCAGCGATCCCAATCAGCCTTTGTTTTACAAAGTCATACAGCCATAACCCTTGGTGGAATGGAGTGTAGCGCTATTTCTTATGACAGCACGTCATCTTTAGTCATCCACCGTACATCTTTAACAGCTCAACGATATGTTGATACCATCCTGCATCCGGTTGCATTACCCTTCATGGAACGTTATCCAGGTGCCATTTTCCAACAAGATAATGCCAGGCCAGATATCGTTCGTTCGTATACCTCTGGACTGTCTCAGTGCGGTTGATAATCTTCCTCGGCCAGCAAGGTCACCAAACCTTTTACCAATCGAGCGTGTCTGGGACATGGTAGGCCGCCAGATTCGGGCACCACAAAATATCGCAGATCTGAAGCGACAACTGATGAATACCTGGCAGAATGTATCGTAGGATGACATTAGGAACCTTTACCTTTCCTTGCCTCGACGAATTCAAGCATGCATTGTCGCCAGGGGCGGTTCGATGAACTACTAATTTGAACACTCAGTGGGTGATTATGAGCCGTGAACAGGTACTATGACCTTGATTTTTTAATCATTTTATTATCTGTGTATGAGCTATACACATATTCAATTACATCAAAAACAACCACTTCCTTCTTGGTGCTGCGATTGTTTTGCACAAGAGTGTATATGAACGATACTCTCATACAAAGAGAATCATACTAATTCCCTCGGCATAAGTTTTTTTAATTTATGTTTTAGAGTACACTGCACATCGGCGTTAAAAATGGAATTTTTAAAAACAATATGTTTCTTTAACATTTTCATTAATATTAAAATCCACATTATCATATTTTCTAAAAGCAATAGTTCCAGCTTATTAAAAACTTCCATACAACGATTTAATATTTATTTGCAAATGCTGTTTGTTTTCTAAGCTTGTATACCGGTACCCAATAGTTAAGTAAAAATTAATTTGAGTAGAATTAAGCTTTATAAAGCAGTCAAAGAAATGACACGTCAGATGCATGTTGTATGACACATCACAAGAAAAACAAACTGAGAAATCAGAAAAATAATTTTACTGCATCAGTTATGCAAATTACAAAATTTTAGAAATGTTACTCTTGTAATAGCAACTAACTAGAAACTAGAACTAAACTAGAAAATTTTGACTAGAAAAAATTAGAACATTATTTCTTACAATGGATGCAACAAATCCTTGTAGTCGCGATCACGAAATAGCTTCACATGCTTCTTCTCAAGATATCGAGCGGCCAACGAGTTCCATTCCTTGTAAAGCGGCCAACGAGTTCCATTCCTTGTAAAACAGATTATATACTTGCGGAGATGAACTTTGCTAACTTTCGTAAATCTAAAATAATGATTATCTGCCTTGTGCATCATTAAAAACTTATTTTAGAAATCTTAGCTCTCAGGCATTTGTAAGAGAGTCAGAGTCTTCAGAGAGTAAGTGTCATGTGAATGCGACATGTATGAGTGATATCCCAAATTTAATCTTAGTGAGTAGGTATAGGCCCCATGCGCAAGTTGTGTAGAAAAACAGCATCCTCGGATTATCGAGGACCATCTGTGGGTTAGTGCAACCAACATTGGCAGCAGATCACATCATATAACTCCGATGAGTTTGCCCAAATGCCTTATTGTTCTTCCCAAAATGCCGATCTTGTTGAGTTGAGTCTTTGGTAAAATCTTGTACTCTGCTTGGTGTCTAACTTCGTTCACGTCCTGAAGTCTTATTCGTTCACGTCTGCTTGGTATCTAACTGCGTTCACGTCCTTAATCTAACCTCTGCTACACGTTGAAGCTTCTTGTTGCTTCTTGTAGTCTTAAGCCTGAAGATGAATTTGCAAAATAACTACTGGTGGATTGTCTTGGTCAACCTAGTATTTTTAAACCTTGTATTACAACCTTCTATTACTAACTTCCGCTGCGTCTTGGAGCTTTAATCTAACCTCTTCTGCATATTGAAGAAGGAAGCCTAAACGATCCTTCCTCCTGAGGAAAATGCCAGAAGTTGATTTTCTTTAGTCTTTTAATTATTCTTTTACATAAAGAATGATGAATCTCTCCTTTTCTTTCGTATTCCTTTTTGTGCGACATTAAGTTCTGATCAAAGATGATGACAACTTTTCTCAAAAGAACTGTAGTACAAGGGATTGAAGTAGTTAAGCTAGGGTAGGCTGTATTTGTTGAGTTTTATTGACAGTGATGACCTTACGGAACCAAGACCAAAACAATCGACAGCATTGTATTGCCATTTCGAAACATCTGGGGGAAAAATTTAAAAAATCATGCAGTTCTTACCTAAAAGAGGAGAAGATATGTGTGCCGCGGTTTAGAGATCACTTTTCGATCTTCCTCTCTACGCATGCAATTATTTTATTATAACATTGATAACACTTACAATTATTTGTCTAAAATATCCGTATGTGCAACATTGTCTCTGAACATCTTGGTATGCCTGAATGCCTTCTTACTGATCATCTTTAACTGCGGTGTCACATGCTTAAAGCACACTTGCCCGTAGAGCATCATTGAACACGAACCGCTTCTTCCTAGCACAGCTGATGAATTTGGCGACCCATGTCCTATCCACCCGCAAAGAAATAGTTCATTCACACGTTCACGAACAGAAAATTTGAAGTGGGTGGCAGCTTCATCCTGTTGGCAAACAACAATGTCATTGATGCCCAAATTTTGCAGCTGTGCAAAAAGCCAGTCAATTACATCTTTAAGTAACCAGAATCACTGAGTCCTCAAAGAAATGTGGACTAATGATGTGTTCTTCATTCATTCCCCCCCTCAAAGCATGATGTGTGGAGGATTGTTCTCAATTTCTTGGTAAAAATGTGGATTTTTCTTTGCCGATATGAAGATGATCTTAAAATCTGCGAAATTCGAATAGCACATTCATCGGAAAATAGAATGCACTTTCGAGCAGGAATAGTGCAGAACTTGCAGGATAAAAGCATCGCTGACGCATTAACTTTAATATATGTTTCTCATGAGGTTGATGGATAACTACAGCGGGGGGGGGCATCCAAAGCATTTCCAAGGAGAAAAGCTCTTTTTTCCCATGTGATTAAAGTCTGACGACTTGTTCCTTACCAAAACGTTCACGAAACCTATCCATTACCTGCCCAAGATTTTCATTCTTGCGCTTCCGTTCATGGACCCACACACTTGGCATTAAGCGCTCCTCAAAAGTAAAGTCGCTGGTATCTGCCATTGTTCTTCACCAAGTACAGAAAGGCAAGATAATGAACTCGTCATCGCACAGACTTTATTCTCCTCCTCGGATAGTCAAGTTGACTTTCACATAAGAAGCACTGTTGTTATAGCAGTGATCAGGATGGGCGATTCAAATCTTAAATATCTTACTATCTTACAATGTTGGTCGCATTTAGTTCAAAGGGACTTTCTGGCCACATTCTAGTAGCACTATAATCTACCATTAATACTTTTGCTAATTATTTCGCATTGTGCATTAAACAATATCAAATCAGTACCAGATCAGAACTACTCAACTTTCTTGACCTGAAATTAATCAAAAAGACAGTGATTAATTGTGTATTTCCAATGTACTAATTAAACATAGTTAATCCTTTATTTTCAGCCATATTGAGCAATACTGAAATGTATCCAATATTCCACTGAAATAGAATATACTTCTGTTTATAGGAAATTATTAGGAATATTTCAATATTAACAATATATTCTAATTAGGATTGTTTCAATAATCATTATTTGTAATTATAATTTGTAATTATTTGTAATTATTCTTATTATTCTCTAATATTCTAGCAATGAATGCATAAATGGTTAAAATATGTGATACAAAAATTATATAATAAAAAAACAAACTCAAATAGTAGACGCAAATAAACACCACAATCGGGGTAGGAATTTCCTATTTTGCATAGCATTTTCATTTATTTACTTATTTAGTTACTTATAAGCAAGAATTT